AGAAAAGAGAGAAAGAGGAAGAGAGAAAGAGAGGAAAGAAAGAAGGAGAACGGAAGACAGGCTTGACGTCGCAACCCCAGGCAAAGGTTCCTTTCCTATGTCTCCCTCCGGTCAGGCCTTTGGGCAAAATTCAGAAGGCAAATGGAGCTACATACACAAGCAAGGTCCTAGGCTGTTCCCTGCTACCTCTGTTAAAAATATCATTACCCCTACTCCTGCAAGAATCAAAACAGGGCTTATCAAGTCTTGTGCTGGGGCTTTGTCCTATTAAAGGTACTCCTCATATAACAGCCCCAAGTCCTGGAGAGATATAGAGTCTCGCCAGTAAAGGTGAGCTCTGTCATACCAGAGTGACACCTGCAGCAGCCACAGGATGTAGGCCCCAAACAGACACGGATGAGGAAAGAAATGTCACCAGAGGTCCCAATGACATCACAGCAACCTCAACTCCTGGGCTCAAGCAATCCTTCTGCCTCAGCCTCCCAAGTAGCTAGGACTACAGGCATGGGCCACCATGCCCGGCTAATTTTTTCTACATAATTTTAGTTGGTCAATTAATTTCTTTTGTTTTTAGTAGAGACGGGGTCTCTCTCTTGCTCAGGCTGGTTCAAACTCCTGACCTTGAGCAATCCACCCACCTCAGCCTCCCAGAGTGCTAGGATTACAGATGTGAGCCACTGCACCCAGCCAAACATAGCTTAATCAAACACAGACAAGAGGAACAGCATGTACCAAGGCCCTGAGGTAGGAAAAAGTTGGAAATTAGATCAATTTAGGGGTCATGTAATGAAATGGTCCAGTCAGATTATCCGAAAGTGCAACCAATCCTCTCCACGCAATTGGAACTTTCAACCAACTTTTTTAGTGTCTTCCTTGTAAGATGAATGTAGGACCAAGGATCACCAAGTATGGAGAAAACGCTTAACATAAAAAGATGCAAACGAAACAGAAACAGAAAAGAAGATCTCAGAGGATACAGAAACAATTAATTTCGGAATGGAAGAAAATGGGGAAAGGTTTAATTAATATCCTTAGAGATGAACAGATGAAGAGAATATTAAACAATAACAGAGGGGTTGTAAAAAAGAATTTAAATAATGAGCTCTTGGAAATTAAAAATATGGTAGGTGAGGCCAGGTGTGGGTGGCTCACGCTCACTAGCCCAAGTGACAGAGTGAGATGCTGCCTCAAAAAAAAAAATTAAAAAATGAAGGGAGGTAAACCAATTAAAAAAGGGAAGGATTCTTCCACTTAGTCCTATGTTGGATATCCTTAAGGAAGGAAGGAAGGAAGGAAGGAAGGAAGGAAGGAAGGAAGGTTAAGATGGCAAGTTTTAAAAAAAAAAAATTTATTTCTTTGGAGACAGGGTCCTGCTCTGTCACTCAGGCTGGAGTACAGTGCCATGGTCTTAGCACACTACAGCCTCGAATTCTTGGGCTCAAGTAATCCTCCCATCTCAGCCTTCAGAGTCACTGAGATTACAGGCTCGAGCCACCATGCTCGTGAAATGCTAAATTTCTATTAAAGGGTAATGAAAATAAAGATGCATTTTTCTCCCTTCCAAGTTCATAGACTCCCTGAATTCTATGATCTGCAGACCCAGGTTTAGAACATCTGCTTTGTGACAGTGGGTAAGCCATTCAGCTTCTCTAAGTCTCAGTTTTTTCATCAGTCCTTAGTGTTTGACACATTCTTAAGTTATTCATTCTCTCACAAGTTTAGGCAATTATTTCACACCATTTTCACACCTTAACCCCCATCACTCCTTCCTCATCCTCTCTCTTGCTTCTTGCTTCCTACTTTACTGAGAAGATGGAAGCAACTAGAAAAGAATTTCCACACACTCCCACCCCATCTACTTACCTCTGCACCTGCATAAACTTTCTCTGCCTGTGGTCTGTTATAATCAATGAACTGCCCACACTCCTATCTAAAGATGATCCTGAACGGATCCCATCCTCTCTAACCTACTCAAGGACACCACTCCAGTTATCCTCTCCTCTCTCCTACATCATCAAAGTTTGGGGGATGTTCCCAAAATTATTTCCATCGACATACAAACACACTATTCCTGCCATCTTAAAACCTTTTCTTGGTCATATTTTCCCCACCAATTAACTCTTATTTCTTTGCCCCCATATTTGGCAAAACTCAGGTTTCTTATATTCTTGGTGTATTCCTTTTTACCATTCTCTTTACACTAATTTCAATCAGACTTTGATCCCCACCATTTCACCAAAACTGCTCTTGTTGGCCAGTGTGGTGGCTCACACCTGTAATCCTAGCTCTCTGGGAGGCCGAGAAGGGAGGATAGCTCAAGGTCAGGACTTCAAGACCAGCCTGAGCAAAAGTGAGACCCACGTCTCTACTAAAAAATAGAAAGAAATTAATTGGTCAGCTAAAAATATATAGAAAACATTAGCCAGGCATGGTGGCACATGTCTATAGTCCCAGCTACTCGGGAGGCTGAGGCAGTAGGATTGCTTGAGCCCAGGAGTTTGAGGTTGCTGTGAGCTAGGCTGAAGCCATGGCACTCTAGCCCAGGCAACAGAGTGAGACTCTGTCTCAAAAAATAAAAAAAAAAAAAAAAGCTCTTGTTAAAGTCAACAATGAACCCTCAATTGCAAAATCCAGTGGTCAATTCTTCTTTTTTTTCAACAATAGCTTTATTGAGATATAATTCACATATCATACAATTCAGCCATTTGAAATGTAGAGTACCATTTCATGATTTTTAATATATTCACAGACAAGTATTATTACTACTGTCAATTTTAAAACAGTTTCATCACAATGGTCAATTCTTAATCTTCCTATTACTTGACCTATAGGTAGCATTTGACACAGTTGATGATTCTGTTCTCCTTGAAACATTTTCTTTACTTGGCTTTCAGGACATACCACTCTCTTGGTTTTCCTCCTTCCTCACTGGTCATCTCCTCTCAATTGGCTATGCATTTCTTCCCCCTTGACCTCTTTCTAGAGATTGGAGTGCCCCCTGCAGGAGTGGGGAACCTGTGGCTTTCTGATTGCAAGATTGTTCTTTTTTAAGCACCAAAGGAGGCAAGAAAAGCTTCATCTTTCTCTGCTGAACCACTTTTTTTTTTTTTTTTGAGACAGAGTCTTGCTTTGTTGCCCAGGCTAGAGTGAGTGTTGTGGCAACAGCCTAGCTCACAGCAACCTCAAACTCCTGGGCTCAAGCGATCCTGCTGCCTCAGCCTCCCGAGTAGCTGGGACTACAGGCATGCACCACCATGCCCAGCTAATTTCTTCTATATATATTAGTTGGCCAATTAATTTCTTTCTATTTATAGTAGAGATGGGGTTTTGCTCAGGCTGGTTTCGAACTCCTGACCTCGAGCAATCCACCCACCTTGGCCTCCCAGAGGGCAAGGATTACAGGTGTGAGCCACCTCGCCTGGACAGTCTCACAGCTTTTTATACCATCCCTTTGTTTAATACTACCAATTTTACAGCTCTAGCCCAGACGGCTTTCACCAACTTCAAACTTGTATTTAAAATTGCCTACTCCACATCCTCATCAGGATTCTAATGGACAACCCAACATGTTCAGAATTAACCCTGCTCGACTCCAAGTCTTCCCTACCTCAGTTGATGGTAATTATATCTTTTTAGTTGTTCTGGCCAAAAATCTTGGAGTCATCCTTGATGTCATCTCTCTCTCACACATCACATTCAACCCATCAGGAAATCCTGTTGGCTCTACCAATATATATCCAGAACCCTCCATACCTCTCCCACCTGGTCCAAGAGGCTACCACCTTCAGGTTGGGTTGCCAAAATAGCCTCTCAATAGGTCATACTGCTTTTCTCTTATCCCACTATAGTCTATTCTCAACATAGCAACCAGAGTGACTCTTTTAAAATAGAAGTAACTTTCATGTTACTCCTACTCCTCTGCTCAAAACCCTTCAGTGACTTCCCATTTCAGTCGAAGTAAAAGCTAAGGTTCTTACAATGACTGATAAGGCCCTCCATGATCTGGTAAGCCGCTGCTCTTTCTGTTCCTGCCTTTATCTCTCAATCTTCTCCCCTTCACTCACTTTGCTGCAGTTAACTGGCCTCATCTTTTCTCCAAACACTCCAGGCACACTCTGGCTGTTCTCTCTGCCTGAAAAGCGTTTCCTCCAACAATACAGCTTAGCCAATCCCCTCACCTCCTTTAAGAATTGCTCAAACTTCATCTTCTCCAGATGGCCTTCTCTGACCACCTTATTTAATATACAGTCAACCCTCTCCTCCTCTCCTCCCAAACCCTCTTACCTTGCTCATTTTTTCTTTTTATCTGTAGCATTTATCACCTTCTAATATATACTATGATATTTCTTATGTTTATTTCTCCTGTTTGTTTATAGTGTCTCCTTCCTTTCTAGAATGTAAGCTCTCCCAGAGCAAGAATCTGCTCACCGATGTCTTCCAAGTGTCTAGTACAGTGCCTAGTTCAGAGTAAGCGCTCAACAAATATTTGTTTAATGAATAAATGAGAAATGTGAATAATAATACCCACACTAAAAAGCTATTGTGGGGATTACATAACAGGCAAAGGTCCTGACACACAATGGACACCCAACAAATGTTAGATCTGTAGCTCCCTCCTCCCTTTTCCAAGTATCTTCCTAGTTGCCTGTTCTTATTTTTCCCTCCCTCCTCTCCCGAAATTTTCACCATTCTAGTCTCTCCTTTGAGTTTAAATCTAGAAAAATCCTACAAAAGGCCACAAATGTCATCTTAGTAACAAAAGAAAAGGAAGCCCAGGAGACCAGCTTTACCCATTACCACAACTGTTCCTCAAATTAGCATATTGTCATCCAGAGAAACAAAAAGCCCTGATGGACAGGTAAATGTTTTTGTTTTTGGATTTGGAGTTTATTCCACTGATCTTTAAAATCAACTTTGTTGAAGTATAGTTCACATACAATACACATTTTACGTGCACTGTTTGTCGAGTTTTGACAAATGCATAGGTAATTTTATTGGCATTAAGGTCGTTTGGGATAATGCAGGTCCAGGGATTAACAGAGGGATCCTGGTTAGGAAAGAGGACATGGGGCTCTTGGGAAACATCAAATAGGAACAAGTGGGGACAACAGAGGCTTGGACTGATACTGGTCTTGAGGTCTCACAGCACAGGATCTGGACCTCCGGAAGACCTGGCAACTTCAGGGCACCTCTTGGCCCTCCTGAGGGCCCTCACGTGTGTTTAGGCCAGTAGGTGAGAACTGGGACTGAGTTTTGGCTCTCCTTCGCCCTGCAACTCTCCTACCACCACCCACGTCCCCCATCCCGGCCCAACCAGGGAGGGCGCTCTGGCCTGCGACCACCAAGCCTCACCGCTGCCACCACACCACAGGGCCAGATAGCCTCTCCAGCCACAGTTAGTAACAGGCTGCAGATCTGCTGCAACTCCCCGGCCGGGGAAAAACAAAAGGGCAGAGTCGGGTCCCCCTTCGGGGCCGCCATCCTCTGGTCCCTCGGGTCTCTGGGGCTCACGGCCTCGGATGCGCGCACCTCTGACCCCGCCTGCCAGCCTGGTCCTCTCTCCCGCTCTTCTGTGGCTGAAACCCTCGAGGGGTTGCAGGTTCAATTTTCACTCAAAGACGGCAACTCTGAACTCGAGGTAGCTGAGGAAACTGAGGCAGGAATGGGAATTCTGGATAAGAGGTCAGATGCTGGCCGCAAACTCTTTTCTCCTCAGCACTGGAATAGCCCTTCCGGAAAGCCCAATGCGATTCGTGCCAAACCAAGAAGAAAGTGCTGGAGTCCCCGCAGACGGCCCTGCAGGGCGAAGCGCCGCCCACGCGGCTGGGAAACCTCAGGGGTGGCGCCGGCTGGGGGTGGGGCCGCGGGCGGGTTCTGGCGGAGGGCGGGTAGACCTGGGCTACCCGGTGTGCCAGCCGAGCCCTACACAGCGGAGGTGGCGGTGGTGGCCCCCGCCTGTGGCTCGCGTTCTGCTTGCGCTCGAACTCACCGCCATGGAGGAAGTCCGGGAGCCTCTGAGCGGGAAGCTCCGGCTTTGCTTCTCTCCTGCCGCCCGGACCAGCCTCTTACTGCTCAGACTCAACGACGCGGCGCTACGGGCTCTGCAAGAGTGTCCCCGGCAACAGGTGCGGCCGTCCCCCTTCTTACCTAGGCCCTGTAACTCGGGACGTTGGGTCTCAGCCAGCAACCCTGCCGAAGGGACCTGGGGAGAGAGGGAGCGGCGTCCGCAGGCTCCGGCTTCCCCACCTCTCCAGGTGAAGCCCGCGAGGCAGGTGCCCTCGGGCCCCTAACCCCGGATCTTAGGGACTCCGCTTCACCTGCGCTCAGCTCGCATCTGTGCTCTCCCCGCAGGTACAGCCAGTGATCGCTTTCCAAGGCCACCGAGGGGTAAGTGCAGGCCCAGGCTGTGTGAGCGAGGTGGGGGTGAGGAAGCAGGAGCGTGGGCGCCAGGAAGGTGTGGTAAGGGCGGGAGGCTGGCAGTGGTCATAGTCTGAGGAAGTTCCGAGAACTGAACCCCGAGTGGGGCAAGAGGACTGCTGGGGTTGTGGTCCCAGGAGACTGTGGTTGAGGGGACTGTGCCGTTTCGGTCTCCTGGGGAACTCAGGCCCAGCTGCACCTGGTGTGCTAACGAGCCCCATGGGATCCATCTTCCGTCTTGGGGAGGAGTGGCGTTGGCAGGAGGGGGAGGGGCTGACTTCTCAAGGCTTACCGCCCCCTTCCACCCCCAGTATCTGAGGCTCCCAGGTCCTGGCTCCTCCTGCCTCTTCTCCTTCATAGTGTCTCAGTGTGGCCAGGAGGGCGCTGGTGGTAGCTTGGATCTTGTGTGCCAGCGTTTAGGCAGGTAAGAGGGAACAGGTAGCAGGTAAGAAAGGGTTTGTGGAAAGTGGGGGAGGGGAATGTGGAGAGGTGCTTAAAAACTTCACCCTCCTGCTTTTTTCCACCACTCCTTTCCAGATCTGGGCCTAACCGCCTCCACTGCCTGGGCCCACTCAGGGAGCGCCTCACTGTTTGGGCAGCCATGGATTCTATCCCAGCTAGATTGTCAGCTCAGGGACACCACCTTACTGAAGATGCCAGACATCCTGAGAGTTGGCAGAACACAAGAGACTATTCTGAAGGAGATGCAGTATCACAGTCACAGATGTCAGTAGAAGAGGTGAGGCCAGGAACTGCTGGGAGTTTTGATAAGGTGGGGTAAAGCCTTAAGTCCAGGGAGGCAAGTGCTCTTGCCACTTTCCCCACCAGGTGTCAGACCCACTGGCAATCAGCCGAGGACAGTCACTCCCAGGATCCTCAAGGGAGTACATGGCCCAGTGGGAAGTGAGGTACTTGGAACAGGGTGGGACTGACATGGGAAGCCTGGGTATTGTCTTCCTCTCTAATCTTCACCTTTAAATACTGTAATAGTGATCTAGGCTCACCTCCTATCCTAGTCTTCATCTCTTCCATTCCCTTAAAATATCCTAGGAACCAGGCCCACCTTCCAAATAGAAAGCCTGATCAGGCACTGTCTTCCTCTGCCAGCCGGAAATGTCTACACACGGTAAGTTGTAATGGCAAGGGCTTTTTAAAGAGCACGTTTAGTCAAGCTAAAATTTAAAAACTGGGAGCACCCAGCCTGGAGTGAAACATAGACCCCCATCTCTACAAAAAAAATTAAAAAATTAGCCAGGCATGGTGGTACACACCTGTACTCCTAGCTACTTGGGAGGCTGAGGCAGGAGGATCCCTTGAGCCCAGAAGTTTGGAGTTACAGTGAGCTATGATCATGTCACTGTACTCCAGCTTGGGTGACAATGTGAGATTTTGTCTCAAAAAAAAAAAAAATTTAATTAAATAAAAATTGGGAGCTTGTTTCAATTAGCAATAATTGTACCTTGAATAAGCCTCATCGGCTATGATACTGTCCCTGTGCAAAAGCAGGGAGCTTGTTATATGGGAGGAATTTTTGAGAGGACAGAATAGGAAGCTCCTGGTTGTTTATGTCACATGGATATTTTCCTCAAACAGAAACGTCCAGCTCCTGTAGCCACTATAGAACTAGAGGAAAAGAGGTTCAGAGCTCTGCCTCTAGCTCCAAGTCCCCTACAAGGGCTACCCAATCAGGATTTACAAGAGGGAGAAGATTGGGAGCAAGAAGATAAGGATGAAGACTTGGATCCCAGCCTGGAGCACAGTGCCTCAGTTCAAGGTGAGTTAATAATGAGAGGAGGGTAAAAATGCCAGTGAAGAAAATACCATCATCACTTTTGTGTTTTCTTGCTTCCTTCTTAGACTCTGAATCCTCAAGCCCTGAAGAGGTACCAGATTACCTCCTGTGAGTTCCTTGCCATTTCCAATTTCATCAAGCCTGTGTATATATAAACTTCCTAGGAGCTGGGAGCTTTTGGTGGCAATGAAATTAAAAGTCACAACTCTCTGCTTCCGGCAGGCAATACAGGGCCATCCATAGTGCGGAACAACAACATGCCTATGAGCAGGACTTTGAGACAGATTATGCTGAATACCGGATCCTGCATGCTCGTGTTGGGGCTGCAAGCCAAAGGTTCACAGAGCTGGGAGCAGAGATCAAGAGAGTTCAGCGAGGAACTCCAGAACATAAGGTAAGGACTGGACCCAGGCTGGCTTTCCAGCTCTACTGGCCATTAACCCCCTGCTAACTACCCATAAGCCTGTGTTTGTTCAGTGACTAAGCAAAGTGATAAGCAAACCTGTTTTGAGAGAAAAATTAGTCTGTATCATTTGATAGAATGAGAAAGGAAGTTACTTCCCTCATTTTTAAATGTTGAACTCAGTGCTAGTATTTTCTGTTTCAGGTGCTGGAAGATAAGATAGTCCAGGAATATAAAAAGTTCAGGAAGGTAAGACAAGGTCTGGGAATGGAAGCACAAAGGTAGAAATGAAGATTTTTACTTTTTGACATGGACACTTTTTTTCTCTGCAGCGGTACCCAGGTTACAGGGAAGAGAAACGTCGCTGTGAGTACCTGCATCAGAAATTGTCCCACATTAAAGGTCTCATCCTGGAGTTTGAGGAAAAGAACAGGGGCAGCTGAAGCTGTCAAGAGGGCTCTTGACCCTCTGCTCAGTGATATAGGAACAAAGTAGCTATAAACTAAATAGAGTGTAATATCTGCTTTCCCTATGCTGACCACTCGAGTCCATGGTGGCAAGCAGAGAGCTGCTCTAGGTTCTTGAGGCTTGGTTTTCATTGTTGCCATATTTTAATTTTTAGGGTATAGGCAGTGTGCCAGAACTCCACAGCTGTACACAGGAGTCTAGGAACAGCAGCAGAGGCTTGGCTTCTTCACCTTTAGTTCAGCCAAGTAATTTTCAAATAGTAACAAATGACATCATTTCTAGGACAAGATAACTTCAGGACATTAGACAAACTAGAAAGTGAATTTAGTCTGGTAGCCTCCCTAAGGAAACAATGAAAACTTTTGATAACAGAGCTAAAGGAACTTATAGCACACCTGGAAATAATGGGAAAGGGCTTGGGTGTTACTCATGTACTAAAAGAATTCTTATACAAACATGGCTAAAAAATTAAAAACTGACTGCTCCTCTGTCCTTTGTATAGTTGTATGTTTTCCTTGAATCCTCCAAGGCAATAATTCTTACCCTGGCTATACATAGGAACTACTTCTGGGGCTCTCTAAAAAAGTAGATCCTCAGTCCTCATCCCAACTGTTATTAGAATTTCCAAGATTATGGTTTAGACATCTTTTTTCCCCTCCAGACAGGGTTTTACTCTGTTGCTTGGGCTAGAGTGCAGTGATATCATCATAGATCACTGTAACCTCAAACTCCTGGGCTCAAGCAATCCTCTTGCTTTGGCTTCACAGAGTGCTAGGATTATAGGCATGAGCCACTGTCTGGCCAATACCTTTACTTTTTAAAAGCCCTAAGCATGACCCTGATGTATGTTTTGCAATAAGGCTCTATCAATTCCATCTTATGTTTGACAACCAGAGATTATAATAGGAAGAAAGTTCTCCTTTTCTGAACACAGGGGTTTGTAGGATCACCTACAATTTACGGCTCCTATCTGGAATTATCCAGTGACTGAACACTGTACAGGATTTAGATTTAGCTATAAAGAGGGAAATGGTTCTGTTCATTTGAACAAAAATAGATAAATTCAGTCCTATCCTTTTCGTTCTTCACTATTACAGAAGAAAGTAGATGCTTCACTCACAAGCAGGAACGATACTGCTTTTCCCAGTTCCACTGCAGAGGGAGGTTAGTAGGCCATGCCCTAGGCTTTGGGGGAAAGCTATACTCAACAGTGCCAGCAATTCCTGAAACAACTTGGAGAGAACCCCAACCTGATGCCACACCTATTGCAGGGCATTTCTGGGCAGAGAACAGTCCTCGGGAGGTATAAACATGCAATAAGCTTAGCTAGGTGGCAAGGATAAACAGCAACCCATCCCTAGGGCATAGACAGGGCCAGAGACAGCCTTAAAAGAAAAGCCCCTCACCTGTTTTAATCACTGAGGGCCCTGGGTAATAAACATGCAACAAGATAAAAAGATGAGAAATTTGGAAAGGATATTGAAGTGATAACTATGGACACAGTCTATAGCTGCAGTGACCAATATGGTAGCCACTATGTGGCTATTTAAACCAATGAAAATACTCTGGGAGGCCGGGGCAGGTGGATCGCTTAAAGTCAGGAATTCAAAACAAGCCTAAGCAAGAGTGAGACCCTGTCTCTACTAAAAATAGAAAGAAATTGGCCAACTAGAAATATGCAGAAAAATTAACTGGGCATGGTGGCGCATGCCTGTAGTACCAGCTAACTTGAGAGGCTGAGGCAGAAGGATTGCTTGAGCCCAAGAGTTTGAGGTTGCTGTGAACTGGCTGACACCACAGCACTCTAGCCCGGGCAACAGAGTGAGACTGTCTCAAAAAAAATAAAAATTAAAAAAATAAACTAATGAAAATTAAAAATGTAGTTCTTAGCCACATTTCAGACCAGATTGGGCCAGTTGGAGGTAGTATGGCTGTAGACTTTATCCACATTTCAGATGATCCATAGATACAAGAACTGGACAGGACAGATTATAGGACATTTCCATCACTGCAGAAAGTTCCATTGGATAGTGATAGTCTAGAGAACCTTTGGTCCCTCATCACATGGAAACAAGACAGTTTAAAGGGGGCTCATTTATTGTCACTGTTCCAAATGTACAAAAAAAATTAGAAAATAACCCCCCAACTCAATTCCCCCCACCCCCTCAACATTTCCCCCAACACAAATAATTTTTCCCAAAACCACAAACATAAACTGGTTCTGGTATTTCCATAAACAGTGCAGCTAAGAAATAGTTTAGAGAAAATTTAACAGGATTCAGATTACATCCATTTTGTCCTCTCAGTGCTGAGAGGTAATAATCTCATATGGGTCCCAGTCCTCCCCAATGGTTTTCCCGTCTCTGGTGGAAGAGTCCTTTTTACAAAGTAGTATGTTTGGCTGCTGCTTTAGAGATCCTCCTGTGCCTTCTTCTTCTTCTTCTTGGGTTTTTCTTCTTGAATTACAGGGGAGTTTGTAGCTTCTCGCTGCAGGTAGCTAATAAAATCACTCAATTCTCGGCCACCCTGAAAACAGAAAGATTACTCTGAAACTTGAGCTTTTTAAAGAACCCTAATTTGTGTCCCCCTCCCCAACTGGAAGACTTTTCAGTCTGTAAAAGCATATTAGCAACCACATATATTGACCATTAGAGTTGAAAGTTAAATAAACCCAGTTAAAGAACTGGATATGTACAAGCATGTGTGTGTGTGTTGTCTGTGTGTATACTTGCGGGGAGACAGGGCAATGCACTTACTTCATATTTCTTTGGATTTAACTTCTTGTTGGCTGGAGAAAAGTAGATGGTAGGAAAACTGGAGAAAGATAAATAAAAAAATTAGCCCAGTGCAGTGGCACATGTCTATAGTTCCAACTACTTGGGAAGTTGGGGCAGGAGGCTGGCTTGAGCCCAGCAGTTCAAGGTTGCAGTGAGCTACAATGGTACCTGTGCACTCCAATCTGGGCAACAGAATAAGACCCTGTCATGACACTCCCCCCAACAAAACTCTCAAGAATTAAAGCGAACAAATTTCTGGCAGTCATGTGGGCTCACACTGCAGAACTCTAAGCCAAAAAGGAATCACTTTGGTTCTGTTCTCAAGTGGGATATGACCCCCTCCCACAACCATGTCCAGTAAAGAAATGGTTTCCTAGCTTTTTTCTTATCAGTTGCCTAGATGCTTAATTTTTTATCTACATACCCTCTGACTTCATATGGAGAAGGCACATCATTGGCTGTGGCATCCATCTTGGCTATGACAATATTTGGGTCTTTGCTGAGCTGTTAATAAAGGTTAGATCTTTAAATTTCAAGTTTTCAGTGACTGAGGGACACTTAATAAATTCAGGCCTTAAAACAATCTAATTCTTCATGTACCTGAATAAGTTGTTGCTCAGATGGGAAGAGTAGCTCCCATGATAGTACCTAATGTTCTACAAGCTTCCCTTTTTTTCTTGGCTCCTACATAGTAAGACTCTACATAGAGCTACCTTCAAATTTACTTGGCCTGAATAAGACATCATAAAGGCTAAGTAAGCCAAGGCCAGGCGAGATGGCTCATGCCTCTAATCCTAGCATTCTGGGAGGCCGAGGCGGGTGGATTGTTCAAGGTCAGGAATTCAAAACCAGCCTGAGCAAGAGCGAGACCCCGTATCTAATATAAATAGAAAGAAATTAATTGGCCAACTAATATATATAGAAAAAATTAGCCAGGCATGGCGGCACATGCCTATAGTCCCAGCTACTCGGGAGGCTGAGGCAGGAAGATTGCTTGAGCCCAGGAGTTTGAGGTTGCTGTGAGCTAAGCAGATGCCATGGCATTCACTCTAGCCTGGGCAACAAAGTGAGACTATGTCTCAAAAAATAAATAAATAAATAATAAAGGTTAAGCCAAGTGTTTTAAAAAGAATGAATATATGGATTCATAAAAGCCATTACCAAAATTCAGAAGCTTCTAGATCTTTTTAACTATAATCTAGATTGAGTCTAAGGAATGGAATGTTCAAGTGGGTATCTGATGCATTGCACAGCACAGGTTAGAGACACTAGGGGGCAGTCAAAAGGAAGTGCATAAACAGTCAGTAGTTGGGAAAAAAAATCACATAGGATCTAAACTAATTAGGTCAAGTAATTGGCCAATGGTGAATTAACTTTCCAGCCCTATTCAAATTTTATCTTCAGAGTAGGGTTCAGACTTACCTTCTCTCCCAGTTCTTTATATTTGGGCTCCAGATTCTTACAGTGACCACACCAAGGGGCATAAAATTCAATCAGCACATCTTTATTTTCATTATTCACTATTTCATCAAAATTCTCTGCTACCACTACCTGGAAAACACAGAAGATTCTCTGGTTGATAAGGTAACAAAAGGAATAAATTCATAAGCTACATTTGTTTCTGGACCCAATCCCTCTCACATTTGATGTGTTACCACTGAAAATAAGTCATGGAAACCCAAATCACATTTACAGATTATATTAAAAATATTGGAATGACCAGGAACAGTGGCTCATGCCTGTAATCCTAGCACTCTGGGAGACCAAGGTGGGCAGATTGCTGGAGGTCAGGAGTTTGAAACCAGCCTGAGCAAGAGCGAGACCCCGTCTCTACTATAAATAGAAAGAAATTAATTGGCCAACTAATATGTATAGAAAAAATTAGCCAGGCATGGTGGCGCATGCCTGTAGTCCCAGCTACTTAGGAGGCTGAGGCAAGAGGATTGTTTGAGCCCAGGAGTTTGAGGTTGCTGTGAGCTAGGCTATGCCACGGCACTCACTCTAGCCTGGGCAACAAAGCGAGACTCTGTCTCAAAAAATATATATATATATTGGCATTCCTTAGAAATCAATTCATACCCATGTCTGTCACCTGTCAAACTATGTTCAGGAAGTTATAGGATGGATAAGTGCTACCTGACCATTCCTTAAAATAATTTCAAGCCAGATGGGTGCAGCGGTACATGTCTGTAATTCCAATTACTCTGGAGACTGAGACAGGAGGACTACTGGAGCCCAGAAGTTCAAAACCAGCCTGGGCTACATAGCTAGACCCTATTTCTAATGAAAAATTTCAGAGCTACAAAACTATTCTTATGGGTTAGCTTGCTCTATCCCAGACAGGAATATAGCCCTAATATAAATTCCATCAGAAAATTCTATGAAGGTGTTCTGTCCCTACCAAGCATTATGAGCTCTGCCAATGTTTACTTTATGACTCATGGAGGTGAGGACAGAAAAAAAGATGGTGAACAAGTTCTTCATTTAGATTCAGCATTTTTGGGATAAAGAAATGAGGAGGCAACTGCTTATAGCTTGGTGAGGCTATGAGCACCTCACCTTTACAGGCCCATCATTGCTCTCTGGGATAGGCTCAGACTTCAGGTATCTCTTCAGGTTGCCATCAAAGTAATCCTGCAGGAACCTCTCAAGAGCCTTGCCATCACGCCTACAATTGGAAAAACAAGGGTCAGATTTGTTAATTTACTCCTACCACTGCAAGGATTAAAAGCAATTTCTCTGAATAACTTCTACGTATTTTAGTTTCAATTTCAAAGGTAAAAAATGGGCTCTTATGTCTCAGTATGTAGTACTGATTGAGTAAGAAACAAACCACCTTGTTCTATTTCTAGTGTGTTCTTTGTGAATTAGTAAGTTCAGAGAAGGAAGAAACACTAGTCTTCTGGAGATTCGTCTTTTTTTTGAGACGGAGTCTCTGTTGTCTGGGCTAGAGTGCCCTGCCATCGGACTAGCTCACAGCAACTTTAAACTCGTGGGCTCAAGCAATCCTCCTGCCTCAGCCTCCCAGGTAGCTGGGACTACAGACACATGCCACCATGTCTGGCTAATTTCTTCTATTTTTTTAGTTGTTTGGCTAATTTCTTTCTACTTATAATAGATACGGGGTCTCGCTCAGGCTGGTCTTGAACTCCTGAGTTCGAGCAATCCACTCACATCAGCCTCCCAGAGTGCTAGGATTACAAGAGTGAGCCACTGCACCCGGCCTGGAGATTCATTTTTATACAAGAGCCAGGTCTTGTCTCGTCATTCTAGAGAATAAGTGTGTATTTACAGTATCTTATTTTACTGATTGGCTCGCAAGGAAGATTTTCTCTTCTCTTAATCTCCCAAAGTCTCAAAAGGTGAAGGTAAATATTGTGTCTGGGGTCTTAAGACATTCTGTGGGGATGGGAGAGGGTTGGTTTGGTTTGATCTGAAATCACATCAATCTCAAAGAGGCTGTTCAATCTTCTATTATTATCTTTAATGATTGAAAGAACAACTTTACTCAGTCAGCGCCAATACAATCCCACAGTCACCTAATCAATCATTGACTACAGAATGTTCCTTTCTCATTGCTAGTAAGCCTTAGTTTACTATCTTATTTTTTTTTTTTTCTTAAATAAAATCAAGTAGAAGTTTACTATCTTATTAACGGAAACAATTTTGAGTAAAAAAATTTCCTTGAAATTAGAACATGAAAACATATGAACACCTATACATGCCTCATTAACCTCAAGTGGTAACCTCATCTTGCCTCATGTTAAAATCTGATAAAATAGAAGAAACATATTAAAAATAAAGATTTTTTTTTTTGAGACAATCTCACTCTGTTGCCCAGGCCAGAGTGCCATGGCATCAGCCTTGCTCACAGCAACCTCTAACTCCTAGGCTCAATCAATCCTTCTGCCTCAGCCTCCCGAGTTGCTGGGACTACAGGCATGTGCCACTGTGTCCGGCTAATTTTTTCTATACATTTTTAGTTGGTCAATTAATTTCTGTCTGTTTTTAGTAGAGACGGGGTCTCGCTCTTGCTCAGGCTGTTTTCGAACTCCTGACCTTGAGCGATCCTCGGCCTCCCAGAGTACTAGGACTACAGGCATGAGCCATAGCACCTGGCCTTCATACATTGTTTTAAAAACAACAATCAAGGATAAAAAGGAAGACCGGCAGTTTTCCATTAATGTGAAATCCTGACTTCACATGAACATGCACAATATCTAGAAATGTGTTTTCCCCCTTTTCAATCTCAAAAAGCAGCAGCATGGATTCTATTACTAGTTCTAATGGGAGAATGGAATTGTAAGAATTATAAGCTGCCATCTTTTTGTTAATTTTCAAAATCATGATCCTTAAAGTACCTATACTTAAGTCAATTGAGAAAAAAAACAGCCATAGGTCTTGACTAGATGAACTATCTTCATACTCCAAATTATTATTGTTTATAAATTCTCTGTATAAAAGGCTTTAATAATTTCCTTGCTGAATCAAATCCTAAACTCATGTTAACTAGAACTCACGAGAACTCCTCCTGCATGACAAACTTCTCTCCTTTAGCAGTTCTGATAGCAACAACAGGAATCTCTCCAGCAGTGCCTTCCAAGCCAAAATCAGAAAGTTCATGGCTAAAGGTTTTGCGGCTAGCTACAGCAAAGTTGAGTTTGTGTCCAGCATCCAGGAATTTCTTTGCCACCATCATTACTCTGTGGGAAATAAGAGAAATTTGTGCCAAGACTATAACAGTAAATGGTAAAACACATTTGAAACTAAGAGGTAAGTGGCTAGAAAGTAAAGACTAAGTTCTATAGTTCCTGCCACCCTCTGGAATCAGTCTGAACAATCTGTTTTTGGGCACTTACACAGGATTATGGTATACTTCCATGACTTAGGAATTTCACTGCCAAATTTGTGATACCCAATCAACCAGTCCACTCTCACTGAATTTTGTTATATATGTTATATAACTGTAAAACCTATTATAGGCATAATGACTGATCGGAAAAGAAAGTTTATATGGATAAAATGCAAATCTAAATATGTAAGTAGGTAGGCACAATGTGTTTTACATAAAATTTGTTCCTTTCTTACTGGAAGGTTTGGAGACAATGTATCACAAAACAAAGAAATACTTATAAAAGCCATGCCCAAAAGATTTTTTTTTTTGAGACAGAGTCTCACTCTGTTGCACCGGCTAGAGTGCCGTGGCATCAGCCTAGCTCACAGCAACCTTAAACTCCTAGGCTCAAGCAATCCTTCTGCCTCAGCCTCCCATGTAGCTGGGACTCTAGGCATGTACCACCATGCCTGGCTAATTTTTTTCTATTTTTGGTAGAGACAGGTCTTGCTCTTGCTCAGGCTGGTCTAGAACTCCTAAGCTCAAATGATCCTCCCATCTCGGCCTCCCAGAGTACTAGGATTACAGACGTGAGCCACCACACCCGGTCAACCAAAAGATTTTTGAAACACTTTGTTCCCATTCTTTTCTGCTCTGATATCACACATGGTAATAGGATAGTTAAAAGGGACTGTTTATAAATTGGGTAAATGTGTTTACAAAGGCAAAATAATTCTTATTACCTGTTTCTCCAGTAGTTGGAACCTTTAGCATTCTTTTCATAGTCTACATCATAGTAGGCAATTAGTAAGTCCTTGCCCTGTATCAAATCTTTATTTTCTTCTGTCATGTGAGGGCAGATACCAAAACTGAAATGAAATAATCCATTATCAACTTTGGTAGGTTCATAGTTATATTATGGAATTATACACACAAAGTAACTGATAGCACTTATAAAGGAAAGAGATTTTCAACATTTAGGAAAAGAATTGAGTAATATAACTTACAGAGCCACAATAGGAGTTCTAGGACCCACATGTTACTGCTTTAACGTAAACTTAAGCTATTATTGTTATAACCCTTTGAATAGGCTATTTAAGCCAAAACATGGCTCTGCTTAGTAACTCAGGTAAACAAACTAAAACGAAGCAAAGAAATCCTACACAAAGTATAGACAGGTACTCACATGTTTTCCTGGATAAACTTTTTAATCTTGCCACTGGTCATTTTCTCTTCTGTATATGCCACAGTCTTGTCCTCAAACTTGTTAATGAGATGTGAAGGACGAAATAAGGTGATACCCCTTTAAAAGAAAAAGTCTTAGTAGGCAGATAGCAGAGGAACTATTTCCCATTTTTATTTAAAGCTCTGACTACCTACTTTTGCTGCCACTTTTACTATCACCATCTAGCACAGAAGGACTCTCTTCTGGGCTGGGTATGATGGCTCACACCTATAATCCTAGTACCCTGGGAGGCCGAGCTGGGAGGATTGCTTGAGTTCAGGAGTTTGAGACCAGCCTGAGCAAGAGCAAGACCCCATCTCCACTAAAAATAGAAAAAATGAATTGGGCAACTAAAAATAGAAAAAATTAGCCAGGCATGGTGGTATGTGCCTGTAGTCCCAGCTACTAGGGAGGCTGAGTCAGGAGGATTGTATGAGCCCAGGAGTTTGAGGTTTTGGTGAGCTATGCTGACACCATGGCACTCTAGCCCAGGCAACAGAGCAAGACTCTGTGTCAAAAAAAAAAAAAAAAAAAAGACTCTTTTCTGGTACCATAGACTCAACAAAATGATCTTTTCGTCAACACTAAGATGTTAACCGCTTCTTGGGTACAGGGGTTTGATTAAATCCTGAGTTGGAAAGCTAAGAGATCTTGGTTCTAACTTTAGCTCCACCACTAATTTCAAAGACCTTGGTATCAATTTAATCCAATTTACTCCCAACCCCCAATATGTACAATAAAACAGGGCTTGCTTTTATTGGAAGGTACCTTGCCCTATCATTCTCCTTGAAAAATGCACCTCTCACATAGTAAGAAAAGTACTTAATTACAGAAAACACTTTTAAGATTCCTTCTAGTTACATAATGTTATACGTAGATATACAATTATAGATAATATTTAGCTTAAGTTCATTAGAAATTCCTTTGTTGTAGAGTTCTCTATTCCTAAGATAGAGAAGCCAAGTAAAGCCAAGTTTATAAAATTTTGTCTTGTTGGAACTTCTTTGCCTCTCACCTAAGTCAAGCTTTCCTGAATCAACTGGAACACTTAAGGAGGCAAATTTCTTCTTTAATTTCCAGTCTTTTGTTCAGCTAAAACTGTACATCAGATTTGGTTCTGAGTCACAGTTTTATATCTAGTACCAGCTTTCTTTCCAACAAAACACCACTATTCTAACAATATCTTGCCTCTAGCTTCTCCCTCATTCACTCCTCCCCCGGCCCCTCCCCCACTACACACACCCACAGAAACTCCATCACTTTTGTTTTTTGCAATGTTTTAACACCTTTAAGTCCTTACATCCCCTTCTCAATATTTCCAATATTAACCATTAACTAGCTTTATGTCAATTAAAACACAGGCATTGGCAGGGCGTGGTGGCTCATGCCTGTAATCCTAGCACTCTGGGAGGCCGAGGAGGGAGGATCGCTCAAGGTCAGGAGTTCGAAACCAGCCTGAGCAAGAGTGAGAACCTGTCTCTACTAAAAATAGAAAGAAATTAATTGGCCAACTAAAAATATATAGAAAAAATTAGCCAGACACAGTGGCGCATGCCTGTAGTCCCAGCAACTCGGGAGGCTGAGGCAGTAGGATTGCTTGAGCCCAGGAGTTTGAGGTTGCTGTGAGCTAGGCTGACGCCACAGCACTCTAGCCTGGGCAAGACAGTGAGACTCTGTCTCAAAAAAAAAAAAACGGTTAACAGGTGGTATGCTTGCTAATCAGCCACAAATGGCTCCAAATCCATCTATATACCTTGTGTGTCTCAATCTAGGGTAGACTACGGTCAAGCCTACTAACTCTGCAGCCAGACTTTGCAGGTACAAATCCTAGTTCTGCTATTTACTAGCTGTGCAAAGCTAGGCAATTTTCTTTTTTGTGGGTTTTCTCCTCTATAAAATGAGGATAGTAATACATCTCACTCCTGCTGCTCTATCTGGAATAACTTTAATCTCAACTGCCATAACCTTCCTGGAAAATACTCATCTTTCAAGTCACCTTCTCTATAAAGCTTTTTCTGACACTGCAGTCTTACAGAAGAAAAATAAATCACTCCCTCCTTTGTACCAACACCCTGTTAATCCTTCTATCATAACAACATATATTCACTTATACACTATCTCTTCCTACTAGATAGATGCCCCTCAAAGGTAGCCATAATTTCCAGCACTTAGCTTAATATCTTGCAAGCACTCAATAAACCTTTTGGAAAAATTAGGCACAAAAATCACCAGTTCACACAATAGCACTCGGTCCAGAGATTTACAAGGGCATTCAACAGTCACTTACTCTCCATTATCATCATACTCGTTCACCAGGGACTGAACATTGGTGTGTGCAAATCGGTAATTATCCCTCAAGTTGCTGGCTGCTTTTAAGAACTCAGAGTGAGCATCACTGAATAAATCATCGAAAAAACCTACATAGAAAATGTTAAAAGAAGAAGCAATAAATATTGATGGATATTCAAAACTATAAATTTCTTCTATTTTTCAAAGCCTTTATTCTATTACAGATGTAGGTAAGAGGACTGAGTCTGCTTTACCATGACTATCTCGGATATTTGGCACAATATTTAGGATAAGAATCCTTCCTCTACCCTTTACAGAAATAATTGAGAGCCAAAGGAGAGGATTTGTCAGTGTTCAAGACTTAGTTCTACTTTCACATAATTGAATAAATCTGGGCAAATTGCTTAATTGCCTAGAGTTTCAGGGACTATTTCATGTATCAGAAGGCTTAAATTAAGACAATATGTCAAAATAAACTGTAAATCAGTTTTTTTATGTCTTGTCTTTAGAACTGCAAATCTAGAAAAGTGACAGAAACACTAATGTTTAATAAATGCCCGTTACAGTCAATTCCTTGTAAAATATATAGAAACATTAAGATCCAGATGATAAGAAGTGGTTTCTATTCAAATTTAAATGATTGTACTTTCCATTGCCCCAAAGTAAAAAAAAAAAAAAAAAATTTAAATGATTGGCCCAGAGTGGTGGTTCACGCCTGTAATCCTAGCACTCTGAGAGGCCGATTGCTTAAGGTCAGGAGTTCGAAACCAGCCTGAGCAAGAGCGAGACCCTGTCTCTATAAAAATAGAAAGAAATTAATTAGCCAACTAAAAATATATAGGAAAAAAAGTTAGCCGGGCATGGTGGCGCATGCCTGTAGTCCTAGCCACTCGGGAGGCTGAGGCAGTAGGATTGCTTGAGCTCAGGAGTTTGAGGTTGCTGTGAGCTAGGCTGACGCCACAGCACTCTAGCCTGGGCAACAGAGCGAGACTTTGCCTCAATCAATCAATCAATAAATAAATGATAAACCATCTGCTGCCAGGAAGGCAGTTTTATTATAGGAATGATGAGGTTAAGAGAAGCACAAACATAACTTACATGATTAAATTTATTTTAGGTCAAATTTATCATATATCACATTCAAAAAACAAAGCTAACATTCAAAAAGTATATAATTGGCTCATTTTAAGGATAAAATGAGAAACATACTGCAACACCTGAGAAAGCAAAGACTGCTGTAAAAATGTAAGACAAATCCTAGCAATCTGGCCTTAAATTTTAAATTACCCAATTACTGTGAAAATAGCAGACACATAAGTTTATTATTTACTTGTATCCTCCTGCCTGAAAACATTATTTTCAGTCATAACTACCCTATTACATGAGTCAAATATCACAGGTTAAAAAGTGTTAGAAAAAGCCAAAGATATTCCTATTCCAGTTCTTTAATGGAAATTGATCTATAAGAACACAAACCTGCTGAAATAAAATACCAATTTCTCCTGCATTATAGTAATGCTGACCTAATTTTGTAGTTATCTTTTCACTGCCCCAAGGTTTCATACATTGTTTTAACTTTGTGGTTCTCCCAGACATAGGGGGTTTTTGAAACCAAGTTGATGATTTTATGGCATAATTAAATATTTGCTACTTACCCACTACAGAGGCATCTCTATCACCAATGAATTTCTCAAATTCTTCCTCAGTCTTGAGAGGAACTGAAGCTGGTCCTGCCTGCTTCTTCAGGTGGCTGACAATTCCATCTTAGAAGTCAAGATAAAAGTTATAGCAACACCATTACTTATTTATAATTTTTGAGAAGGTAATTATTCACATGATTCAAAATTCAAAAGGTACAAAAGGATATACGTCAAAGCTTTCTTCCTACTCTGTTCCTAGTTATTACCCAGTTTCTTCCTTATGAGATTTCAGTTTCTTGTATATCATTCTAGACTAGACATTTTATGTACAAACTGGCAATTACATCAACCTAGCTCACAGCAACCTCAAACTCCTGGGCTTAAGCAATCCTCCTGGCTCAGCCTCCCAAGTAGCTGGGACTACAAGCATGTGCCACCACATGCCTGGCTAATTTTTTCTATATATATTAGTTGGCCAATTAATTTCTTTCTATTTATAGTAGAGATGGGGTCTTGCTCTTGCTCAGGCTGGTTTCGAACTCCTGACCTTGAGCAATCTGCCCACCTCGGCTTCCCGGAGTGCTAGGATTACAGGCGTGAGCCACTGTGCCTGGCCTGTCTCAACCTTTAATTATAGTTGCCTAGTGTTTCATTATACGGATATACCATAATTTAATCAGCCATAATTGATGGCCATTGGTTTCCAATATTGCTGTTTGTTACAAATACTTCTGTAATAAACCTTGTATTAATGTCATTTTGCACATGATAGAGTATCTATATGGTGAATTTCTAGAAGTGGATTCACAGGGTCAGAGGGCATATACGTTTATAATTGTTAAACTGCCCTCCAAAGAGATTTAACTATTATTTTTACATCTCTCTCTCTCTCCACTATCAAGTAAATTCCAAATGGGTAGGGACTGTTTTGCTCACTGATATATACCTAGCTCTAACAGTGCCTACCTACATAAAGTTCAATAAACATCCATCTTACAAATAAGTTAAATGAATAGACAAATTCCTATTCTCAAACAGCACAAAGAGTTATCTTTAGCCTTACATTTTTAAAGCAAAAAATGCAATCACTTGACTAGCTTGTGTATCTCTCTCTCTCTCTCCTGCTTTCTGTCAAATCACACCATGTATAGGATCCAGCCAAAACCATACTTTCCCACTGAGGTACAATGAGCTAGTTAAGTAAAGAAAAAGTTTAAATAGGGCCAGGCCATGGTGGCTCACGCCTGTAATTCCAACACTTTGAGAGTCCCAAAGAAAGGTGGAAGGATCGCTTGAGGCCAGAAGTTCAAGACTAGTCTGGGTAACACAGCAAGATGCCATCTCTACAAAAACAAAAAATTAGCTGAGTTTGGTGGCACATGCCTGTAGTCCCAACTACTCAGGAGGCTGAGGCAGGAGGATCACTTGAGCACAGGAATTCGAGGTTATAGTGAGCTATGATCAGGCCACTGTACTCCAGCCTAGGCAACAGAGTGAGACCTTATCTCTAAAAACTAAAAGTAATTAAATTAAAAAGTTTAAATACGTCAGGCGCAGTGGCTCACGCCTCTAATCCTAGCACTATGGGAGGCGTGCGGATTGCTCGAGGTCAGAAGTTCGAAACCATCCTTAGCAAAAGCGAGACCCCGTCTCTACTATAAATAGAAAGAAATTAATTGGCCAACTAATATATATAGAAAAAATTAGCCGGGCATGATGGTGCATGCCTGTAGTCCCAGCTACTCGGGAGGGTGAGGCAGGAGGATTGCTTGAGGCCAGGAATTTGAGGTTGCTGTGAGGTAGGCTGATGCTATGGCACTCACTCTAGCCTGGGCAACATACAAAAAATCTTTTCATCCCTTAAGCCTAGTTGACAGATGGTTATTCATTTTGTCCTAGGATCTATTAACACCATTCACAGGCTCAAAATGCTCACAGACCAGAGGCAGTACTACTCTTCCACTGTATTCTACCTTTTCTACCCCTTTCTTTTCCTATGTACTCTAATGATTTGCTAATTGGCTAAGAGTACAGTTCAACTCTTTCAACATGATTAAGCCTATTTTGCATGTCTGAGGTAATTTTTTTTCTTCCTTCTCTTTATGGATTTTTTTCTTTTCTTTCTTTTTTTGAGACAGGGTCTTGCTCTGTTGCTCAAGGTAGACTGCAGTGGCCTTATCATAGCTCACTGTAACCTAAACTCCTAGGCTCCTAAACTCCTGATCCTCCTGCCTCAGCCTCCCAAGCAGCTGGGGCTATAGGTACACACCATCACACCCAGCTATATGCAGAGAATTAAGATGATGATGTGATAAGAAAATGACTGGGTGGCTACTTTAGATTTATTTAGTGGCCTAGGAAGGACTCTCTGAGGTGAAATTTAAGCCACGATCTGGATGACACAAAGGAGCAAGCCCTGCAAACAAAGATCATTTATGCTTGTGAATACAGCCAGGGGAAAAGCCCCAAGGTCAAACAGTCTTGAGATGGCATCAGAATTAGGCAGGGGTATGACATGTGTGTATCAATAACAATCATACATACTGAAAAAAAATTCTACATCTCCTAAAATCTCCAAACTTGATCCTTTCCTCTTGGTTTTCCATCATGAAAAGGCAAAAAATATGCCTGATTATTTGATAGGTCCAACGTAAAAATGTATTTGATCATATGAGAATATTTTTTCCTCATCAGTTGTGGGCTCTGCAGGATCCAGGCTACCCTTACCTCTCAAACTTTACCTCATACTTGCTAATAATATTCTAGCCACATGGTCTTTTCATCCCTTGAACACAGTAAGCTCAGTTATACATTAAGGACTTTTTGTCACCTGATTTCCCTCTGTCTAGAAAGCTCTGGACAAGATCATCTCATGGCTGGCTCTTTCCTATCTTTCAGGTCTTAGCTAAAAGGTTATTTCCCTGACCATCCTGATTATGTGGTTCTCACACTCTCAATCACTACATCATCCACTTTATTTTCTTTCTTTAACACTCTTATCATAACTGAATTTATCTTATCCATATATTTTTTTGACTTTTTAATTGCTAAAATAGGGCCGGGCATGGTTGCTCACACCTGTAATCCTACTCTGGAAGGTTGAGGCGAGAGAATGGCTTGAGGTCAGGAGTTCGAGACCAACCTGAGCAAGAGCGAGACCCAGTCTCTACTAAAAAAAAATATTCAAGTCACTTTGGAAATGAAAAATAAAAAGGAAAAGATTTAAAATTAATCTATAGGCTGGGCGCGGTGGCGCATGCCTGTAATCCTAGCACTCTGGGAGGCCAAGGCGGGCGGATTGCTCAAGGTCAGAAGTTGGAAACCAGCCTGAGCAAGAGCGAGACCCCGTCTCTACTATAAATAGAAAGAAATTATATATATATATAGAAAAAATTAGCTGGGCATGGTGGCACCTGCCTGTAGTCCCAGCTACTTGGGAGGCTGAGGCAGGAGGATTGCTTGAGCCCAGGAGTTTGAGGTTGCTGTGAGCTAGGCTGACGCCACAATACTCACTCTAGCCTGGGCAACAAAGCGAGACTCTGTCTCAAAAAAAAAAAAAAAATACATATCTTAACCATGTGTACCTATATAGTTCTGTATACTGTTGTATATTGGTTGTATACTGTTGTACGACTAATCCCCAGAACAGTTATCATCTTGTAAAATTGAAACTCTACCCATAAAACAATTCCCTCTTTCCCTTGCTCCAGTCCCTGGCCGTCTGTCTCTACAAATTTAACCACTCTAGCTATTTCATGTAAACAGAATCATATAGTATTTGCTTTTTGTGATTGGCTTATTTCACTTAACATAATGTTTTTAAGGTTCATCCATGGTGTAGCCATGCGCCAGAATTTCCTTCCTTAAGGGTGAATAATATTCCATTGTATGTACATAGCACATTTTGGTTTTTGGTTTTTTTTTTTTTTTTTTTTTGAGACAGGGTCTCACTTTGTTGCCCAGGCTACAGTGAGTGCCATGGCGTCAGCCTAGCTCACAGCAACCTCAAACTCCTGGGCTCAAGAAATCCTGCTGCCTCAGCCTCCTGAGTAGCTGGGACTACAGGCATGCGCCACCATGCTCGGCTAATTTTTTCTATATATATTAGTTGGCTAATTAATTTCTTTCTATTTATAGTAGGTGTACAACCATCTTGTTTTAAGTATACAGTACACCCTCAGTGTTGTTGATAGATTCTCGGAAACTGCAACTTGACCTTAAATGGAAATGATGTGTAACAATCTTGTCAACATTTTAAGGAAGGACATGAGTCAAGGACCTGTTGTACATTGGTTTCACTTAAAGTTGCAGTTTCCAAGAACCTATCAATAATGTTAAACAAGGACTTACTGTATACACAGAAGTGGTATTGCTGAATCATATGGTAATTCTATTTTTAATTTTTTTGAGGAATCACCATAATGATTTTCATTGAAGCTGCACCATTATACACTCCAAACAACAGTACACACAAAGGTTCCATCCAATCTCCACATCCTTCCCAACATTTGTTATAATTTTGTTTTTTTAATAGTAGCATTCTTAATGTGTGTAAGGTGGTTACACACACACACACACACACACACACACACACACACACACACGAAGGATTTCGCTATGTTGCCCATGCTGGCTTTGAACTCCTCATCTCAAGGGATCCTGCCACAGCCTCCTGAGTATCTGGGACTATAGGTTTGTGCCACCGTACCCAGTACATATGTATTTTTAAAACTCTGTTTGTTACTTTCTTTCTCTCACCCCCCAGAATGTAAGCTCCACAACAGTAGGGACCTTGTCTGTTTTATCGATAAATGCCAAGCACCTAGTATATCTAGACTACCCAGCATAGAGAAGGAACTCAAAAAATATTTGTCAAATGAAAAAATGTCTATCTGACCTTATAACTCAAGTTCAAGTATTTTCTATACTACTCACATAATCTATACATTGTTAACTGCCAAACTAACCCCTGAGATGAGGAATTTTTAAGACTGAAAGTTTATTATGTAAAAAAACACATTTTCATGGTTTTACTACAAATAAGGTATTTAACAAATTCAGTTTCCAGAATGTAAATTCAGGATCCTTACCAGCAGTCCTAGGCCCATCATAAGCACCTGCTTCTTCACCATCTCTAAATATCTTCAGGGTTGGATATCCACTGACTCCATACTTATTACAAGTGTTTGTGTTGGCAGTACAATCAACCTAAAGATTGAAACAAAAATTACTTTGTTATTCAAATACCTGCTGCAGGTTCTTCCTATATTCCCAAAATATTAGGATTGGTCAAATCATGAGAGAATCAAGCAACTGGCATACATGCCACAGAACATTAGATCTTAAGGGCAAACTGATGCTTGCCTAGCTACAGCAGAACTGCCAAAGGCAATTCTTTAAAATCAAGATTCCTCTGCTGGCTTTGGGTTTACAAAAAGAAAAAAAAAAATAAAAAAAATAAAAAAATAAAAAAAATAAAATCAAGATTCCCAGGTCTCGTACAAAATACAAAAATTACTATTTAAATTCTGCCCTTGGAGTCTCTATTATCTAAAGCAGTGGTCTCTACCTTTTTCTGCCTTAGAACATGTGAGGGATAAATCACTTAAATTATTAACAGTGGCTTACTTTGATAACAACTATCAAGGGGATATACAGATGGGTGTACATATACTCTTAGGTGGGGTGGGGTATAATCTGATTTTGCAAATCATCTAGAGTTATTAGCAAAGGTATCATTACTTGTACATGCTCCCTTCGCTAGTTTGCTAGTGAAACCTATCAGGAAGAGGGAAAACAATTTCCATCTGTTTAGCCATGTACTCCAAATCAGATCCTTATGCTCTAAGATGGGTAAACTGAGATCCAGAAAATTAATGTGTCTATAATCAAACAGGCTATAGTCATAAGAGGCAAAAATTAAATCATGATTGAACTTCTATTTATCTGAGGCTGGCAGAGGTGTGAGCTTTTAGACTAGAACTGGAATTTACTATACAGAATGATGGCAAAATTCTGGAAGCATTACTTTAATTGTAAAAACAAATACCAAGTTTGCAGTTGACCAATGTGATTACATACTTGTCAACACCCTCAAATCATTTTCTTATTCCCATCATTGTGATTATCATATGGCAGTTTTTTTTGTTTTGTTTTGTTTTTTGAGACAGAGTCTCACTTTGTTGCCCAGGCTAGAGTGAGTGCCCTGGCGTCAGCGTAGCTCACAGTAACCTCAAACTCCTGGGCTCAAGCAATCCTGCTGCCTCAGCCTCCCAAGTAGCTGGGACTACAGGCAGGCGCCACCATGCCCGGCTAATTTTTTCTATATATATATTAGTTGGCCAATTAATTTCTTTCTATTTATAGTAGAGACAGGGTCTCACTCTTCTCAGGCTGGTTTCAAACTTCTGACCTTGAGCAATCGGCCTGCCTCGGCCTCCCAGAGTGCTAGGATTACAGGCGTGAGCCACCTCACCTGGCCCATATGGCAGTTTAAGGAACTCATTTATTCAATGATAATTTTCCTCTAACCTTTACAACTGTACTTTTACTTTCCTTATTTGCCCCTTAATTCTTATTTACCATATATTTTACTTCTTATGCCAGTAATTTTCTTAGTCTCACTACTTTTAATCTTTTGAAACTATAATTAATACAATAGTCAGTTGTGTATTTTCCCAGAAACTAGTATTCACTCTTCTTAGCACTGTAAGAATAGAGAAAATGAATGTTAATTTTATAAACTACATTTTAAAATACTTCATTTCCTTTAAATGAAGAATCCACCTGTACTTACCTTTGCTAATGGGACTATTCCTTTTAATCTGGTAGCTGCAGCTTCATACTCAGGGGCAAGCCTCTTGCAGTGTCCACACCTATATGTGTATATATATATAAAAACCAAATTCTCAGTTTAATCCTACACTTCTTAATTTTGTCTCGCAAGGAAGAATTTCTAATATATTATATATATAATACTACTTTTGAGCTAACAGATGATTCCAAAAGTAAAAATATCACCTGAATAATATCCATTACTGCTGAGGTAAACCAGAGCTCTCAGAAGGTAAAGGTCTTATCTCAAGCCTGAGGTTGACTCTACAGCTTTGGGTCAGCCCAGAGCAGCATCTAGTTTCTTAACCACTTCGGGACCGTGCTCACCAGCTGCGAAACCTTGCCCACAGCCGGCACTCACAGTCTGCCCAATAGCTTGTGCTGTGCATTGACCAGGAATCTGTTTTGCTCTTGTGCAATGAGGAAAGCTTGAAAGCACTGAAAGCTTGTTTTACTTTACAGGCAGCTTTACTTGTAATGTAAATATCAGAATAGGTAGCATGTATATATATGTTTTCATTATGTTATTTTTAAATGTTCACAATTTTATTTTGATAAATGAAAAATTAGAAAAGTCGTATCACGGCTGTCAGCTAAAGTTGACGTTCAGCTGTGCGCCTTCATAGCATAGAGTCGACGACGCTGGTCTGGAAGTGGTTAACAAGAAGTCCTGAAAGTTGCAGTGAGAAGTATACTTCATATTAAAGAGGGAAAGGGTTCATGCCCTTTTGAGTAATTAGGCTGAATGAAAAACAAGATATCAATAATTCCATTTCTGGGAGACTTCCCCCAAAGGAAGGTACTTTTCCAGCACTGTAGTTCTTAAAAAATATAGTGACTGAAATTTTGTAATGTCCCAAGTATGATATTAACTCTTGAAGAATCAACACTGAGTTGTGATCAAGCACATCAAGTGCTTTTTCTTCATTTCTTCAATATGAGTCTCTATGACCAGAAACCTAGTTTGAGGGATTAGTGGAAGGAGGTACTCATTTCATATAAATAAGCACTTCACAGCTCAGAGGCTTTTTCCTTCTCAACTATTTTTTTTTGAGACAGTCTCACTCTGTTGCCCAGGCTAGAGTACCACGGCATTAGTCTAGCTCACAGCAACCTCAATCTCCTGGGCTCAAGCAATCCTCCTGCCTCACCCTCCCGAGTAGCTGGGACTACAGGCACAAGCCACCATGCCTGGCTAAATTTTTGTTTCTATTTGAGTTGCCAGGCTAATTTTTTTCTATTTTTAGCAGTGATGGGTCTCGCTCTTGCTCAGGCTGGTCTCAAACGATCCTCCCATCTCGGCCTCCCAGAATGCTAGGATTACAGGCATAAACCACCATGCCTGGCCATCAACTGAGTTTTAACACAGCATTAAAATGAGATATTTAAAATGGCAAGCCTTGTTTTTACAGCTACACAGTTCACCTGGCCATGAAAACTAATGAAAATATATAAACTAGAAAATTTTCCCTAAGGGCCAGCAGAAGCACCTGCTCCTCTACCCACAAAGTCCTAACATTCCCAGAGGTACATTGTATATACAATGTGGGGGGAGGGGGACATGAAATATATTCTTCCTTATCAGGGGACATGATCAGCTGTATATCATCTCTTCAAAAGCCAATGGGCTGCAGAGGGATCACTTTGAGAAAGTTAGTAGTTGTGTGACCACCCAAGAGACAGCAAATACAGAAAGAAAACAGAAGGAATAGAAAAGAAACATTTCACAGCCAACAGCCTCAATTTATTAAATGATAGATTGATAAGTAACATGGAAATATTTTACCCCTAAAATTTGTTTAAAACAAAGGACTTATAAGAGCTTATATTCTCCAAAGTCTTCAGGAGACTTATTAAAAAATAATTATTAGAGGCCGGGTGCAGTGGCTCATGCCTGTAATCCTAGCACTCTGGGAGGCTGAGGCGGGCAGATTGCTGAAGGTCAGGAGTTCGAGACCAGCCTGAGGAAGAGTGAGACCCATCTCTACTAAAAATAGAAACAAATTAATTGGCCAACTAAAAATATATAGAAAAAATTAGCTGGGCATGGTGGTGCATGCCTGTAGTCCCAGCTACTTGGAAGGCTGAGGCAGTAGGATTGCTTGAGCCCAGGAGTTTGAGGTTGCTGTGAACGAGGCTGATACCACGGCACTCCAGTTCAGGCAACAGAGTGGGACTGTCTCAAAAAATAACAACAATAATAATTATTATTATTCTTAGAAAGCTTAATGAGGGAATAGTGATACTGAAAAAAAGACATTCTGCAGGGTCACATACATATTTACTATAAGTATGAAAGAACCAAATGATAAGCACTAAATTCAGAATGAGGGAGTACAGTCTGGGCACAGTGGCACAACGCTGTCACTTTGGGAGGCTGAGGCAGGAGGATTGCCTGAGGCCAGGAGTGATGCTACCACTGTACTCTAGCCTGAGCAATAGAGCAAGACTCTGTCTCCAAAAAAATGAGGGAACACATAAGATACCTAAGAGGTACAAAGGGGTTTCAACTGTCCTGGCTTTGTTTTTGACTGAGTGATGAATAAATATCATTCCCTATACTATATTTCACACATGCATATTTTCCTGAAATTTTGATGTGTCTTGTAATCATATTTTCAATGGTGGCATATTTTTCTTACTGAGACATAAAATAAGGTTCCTCAGCCTAAGCAACATAGTGAGACCCTGTCTCTACAAAAAATAGAAAAATTAGCTGGGTATGGTAGTGCACATCTATAGTTCTAGCTACTTGGGAGGCTGAGACAGGAGGATCCCTTGAACCCAAGAGTTTGAGGTTGCAATGAGCTATGATGCTGCCACTGCACTCCATCCAGCCTGGGCAACAGAGACCTTGTCTCAAACAAACAAACTACACACACACACACACACACACACACACACACACACACACACACACACACACACGGCTCCTATATGATAAGGTATTATTCGTTACTATCTTCTGTATTCCTTTAATTTTGCATAAAAATTTAAACACTGATATAGGGATACTTGGGTTGCAACCAAAATATGCAAAGTATAATTGATTTAATATAATCACCAATTTATCTGAAAAATAAATGTATCTGGGGTAAATAAGGGTTATTTTATTTTTTTAGATAGGGTCTTGCTCTGTCACCTGGGCTAGAGCATAGTGGCATCATCATAGCTCACTGCAATCTCTCAAACTCCACCAATCCCCCTGCCTCAGCCTCCGTAGCAGCTGGGACTATAGGTGTCCGCCACCACACCCAGCTAATTTTTTCAATTTTTTTGTAGAGACGGGGGTCTTACTCTTGCTAGACTCCTGACTTCTAGCACCTCCCACCTCGGCCTTCCAAAGTGCTACGATTACAGGTGTGAGCCATCATGCCCAGAGCATAATAAAGGTTTATTTTATTTTTTGAGACAAGGTCTCATTATGTTGCCCAACATGGTCTCAAACTCCTGGTCAAGGTGGGGGCAAAACAGAATTATGAGTTAACAGTTTCACCTCAACTATCTTCAAACATTTGAAGAGAAAAAAACTATGAAATAGTTATTAGGTAAGGCCAGTAGGTGTCAACTATAGATGCATACAAAATAGCCACAGGGAATTAAAACAAAACAGCATGCATGGCTTACTGAATGAAAATCTCCAGGAATCTGAGAAGGAACCAGGTTTGTGTATAAGCTGCAAGGCTGGGACTGAAAACCATTGCCCTAAACTTTGGCAAATATCCCCTCCCCCCTTTTTTTTGAGACAGAATCTCGCTTTGTCACCCTGGCTAGAGGGCAGTGGCATCATTATAGCTCAATGCAACCTCAAACTCCTGGGTTCAAGCGATCCTTCTGCCTCAATCTCCAAGTAGCTGGGACTATAGGCTTGTGTCACCGTTCCTGGCTAATTTTTCTGGTTTTTTGTAGAAGAATAGACAGGGTCTCACTCTTGCTCAGGCTGGTCTCAAACCCCTGGCCTCAAGTGATCCTCTTGCCTCAGCCTCCCAAAGTGCTAGGATTACAGGCATGAGCACCCACACCCAGCCGGCAATATCATTAAAGTCATCAAGTGCACAGAGAGTTCCAATGAGGCTGGAGACTGTGCTCTTTAAATACAGAAGGAATGGAACTAGGGTGAAATTTAAGGGAAATAAGGGTTAGTCACACAGTTCCATCAAGACCAACCATTACTTATTTCACCCATCCCCAGAAAATATTAAAATATAAACAGTCCCATCTACCTTCAGTGATGGCACCTAGCAGTTAACGGCTTTCAATATATATTCACCCAAGAATCATTACCTCATATTCCTGCCATGGCCAAATGCTTCTTTAGCATCTGATAGAAAAACTGATATAGTCCTTTACTCATAGAAGCACCAGTCTGGTAGGGTGACAGATAGGTACCGATATAGAGGAAGGATCAACCAGTTAGTTGTCCAGGGAAGGAAAAAGTTAACTTTTGAGCTAAATCTTCATGCTGAAGAGATCAATTGGAGGGTAGAGGGGGATTTCAAGTAAAGGAATAAGCACATTTATCATTATTTATTACGACTATCCTAGAGGGCAGCACACACATCTACAACCTAAGTCGATGTTGAGGACTTATAATTAACACTAATCAATACATTTTCAGAAATTATCAAATATTTAAATAGTGCTATTTATTTCCTCAGAAAAATTCAGATACTCTCATCCTATATAGATAATTAATTCCATAATGAAAATATTAGTCTAGAAGATCAAATGCAAAGAAAGCTTTTACTTTCACTTGTAAAATGAAAGTGGGAAAAAAACCTCAAACGAGAAAAAGAACTTGCTCAAAATAGGGCCATTTTTTCCTTAATGAATGATCTGTGTGGTAACAAAGAAAAAAAGAAAAGCAGCAAAATAGGGCCATTTTACTCTTCAACAAAGATTCTTTAACTGTTCCCATCTACCTTTTGAGATAGTATTCCTGGTCTTAAAAGGTATATAGCAGTCAGAAAACATTTCCAGCTTAAGTGTTAATAAATAAAAATACTATAGTTGATTGTGGAGAAATAAAGACATTATCAACAGGAGACTTCCTTGACTCAGAATTGCTCACACAGAAAACTGATCTTTCTTACCGGCATTGTGGAGGATGACCTTCTCTTTTAAACCAATTAAAAGCAGACACCACAGCAGAGATCCGCCCAATTCTAGGGGCAGTTCAGAGCATGATGGGATATGTAGTTTTAAGGAAGCACGTGCAACAATTTAAAGTAGGCAAGAATGCCTTCAATTGAAACAAAAAAATTCTGCTCTAGGATAACAGTCTAGGCCGGTTCGGTGGCTCACGCCTGTAATCCTAGCACTCTGGGAGGCCAAGGCGGGAGGATTGCTCGAGGTAAGGAGTTCAAAACCAGCCTGGGCAAGAGCGAGACCCAGTCTATACTATAAATGGAAAGAAATTAATTGGCCAACTAATATATAGAGAAAAAATTAGCCGGGCATGGTGGCACCTGCCTGTAGTCCCAGCTACTCAGGAGGCTGAGGCAGGATTGCTTGAGCCCAGGAGTTTGAGGTTGCTGTGAGCTAGGCTGACGCCAGGGCACTCACTTTAGCCTGGACAGCAAAGCAAGACTCTGTCTGAAAAAATTTTTTAAAAATTAAAAAAATAAACTAACAGTCTAATGGTCCACAATTCTCCAGCCTTCCTACTTTAAAGTGCACATCCTTCTGATTCAGATAGTCTTCACCACAATACTTTTAGAGTAACCCTCAGCAGGTCAGCTGAGCCTGAAGAGTGAAGACCAGAGTTTGAAGCAAGCAAAAGTTACACACTAACTTTTTTTTTTTTTTTTTTACCGATACTTTTAAATACAGATAGTTTTTAAGTAGGGGTCATTGTGCCAGGAGGGGAAAAATTAAGTTCTGTAATTAGCATGGATATATTGAGCTACCCCAAGGTTAAGATAATCAGTTTGCTATGGTTATGATTTGGAGGTTTAGAAAAAAAACCAAAAAACAGGTTGACTGGGGCAGAATTCCTATTTGCTCTCCCTTTCCCCCAAGACAGTTTTTTTATTTCAAGTTACTTCTAATGAATTTGCACCCTTGTTCAATTAAGTTACCCTTAAATGGAGTATTTCTCCAACATCGGCTACTTTCTCATTGTGGAGTCTGTCACTTTTTTTTCAGAAATCCTAATTAAAACTTAAAACTGACAATTTGGACAGATTCTAATGGAATTATTCTTGTTCATCTACTCTTTTATTTTGACATAAGTCTTCTGCCAGTACTGAGAAATAAGTGATCCGTTTAATGCGGAAATTGCACGCTATGCGATGGACAAAATAATTGCTTGCCTCAAGAAAGCACTTATGACCATTCTGCAGCCACTGAGTGACCTTGGCTAGAAAGCAATAGCTGTGGGGCAAGAAGAAAGAAAATACCCTGGGGTCCAAGACTTCTGCACTTGCTGAAACGTTCGCTTCCACTATTAGGCTTTGGGGATGCCAGGCCTGTAGACTGGAGAACATTTATGCTGACTAACCCAGAAACTGTAAAGATACATATCGAAGGGGGAGGGGGTAAAAGGGGTAGCTAAACCCTCTGCAAATAGGAAGTGCCGCAAGAGCGCCGAGGTTAAGGATGTGGCCCTGCGTGAAAGGAGCCTTCGGGTTTTCCTTCTCGGGTGTCGCTCCCAGCCGATCAGCACCGACTTCTCCGCTCTAGGCGAGGCACCTCCGGCTTCCCGGGGGTGGGAACCGTGCCGGCGGCGGCAGGGGCCCGCAGGAATGGTGGAGAGCGCCGGTGCTGCGTAGGCCCAACCGTTCCCCGCGCCCTAGTCCCCGGCCCATGCTCGTCCTCCCTCCCTCCCTCGCCCCGGCAGAGTGGCCTCACCAGGGGGCAAAGAACTCGACCAGCATGAGGCCCGCAGAACCTGTGTCGGAGACGCGACTCTCGAAGTTGTCGTCCGTGAGTTCCAGCACGTCGGAGGCATCTGCGAGGCGGGCCGCGGCTAGAAGCAGCGCCACGCCCGGGAACAGCGCTAGGCGGCGGAGGCGCATCGCGGCGAGGTGAGGCGGGGGCGGCCGGGAGGGTCGGGGTTCGGCGGGGACTGCGGAGGTTGGGACGGTAACCACGCACCCGCTGCCTGCTCTCGCGCGTCTGGCCCAGGCGGACCTGCAGCCGGAGGTCCCAACCCCCCAGGCCGGCTCCGGCTGCTGTGTGGCAGCCGCCGATTGGCTGCGCGGCGCCTGCGTCGGGCGGGCGAGACCAGCTGGTAACTGCCGGGTGGCCGAGGCGTGGGGCGTGGCCGAGTCGGCGAGCGCGGAGCCGAGCCGGCTGGGCCGGGTCCTCAGCTAGGGGCTAGGGGCTAGGGTCAGGGTCGAGGGCTGGGCCTGGGGCTCACCGGATCCTGGGGGTTGGGCAGGCGGGGCTAGGAATGCGGCGCCGCGAGGCTGGGAGCGGGCGCTGAGCTCGCCCTGGGTGGGCGGAGCGGAGCTCAGGGGGCGCCACAGCTGGAGGCGGAGGCAGAGGCGGAGGCGTGTAGTCAGGGCTGAGTTGGGAGGAGAACCTGGGCTGAGGTGAGGCCCAGAAGCGGGAATTGGGGTGAGAAGGAGCAGGCCCCCACGAGAGTGTTGGGGTGGACACACTTTGAACTGGACACATTTTCAAAATGTCAGGCTTTTGTTGCATTTTCTCCAGTTCCTCTTCACTAGGTTTTTCTTTTGGGGGCAACCTAAGCCCTCCCACACACTGCCCCACCTCATGGCCTGATTCCCTCAGGTCCAAGTGGGGCCCGATTTTTCTTTGTCCAGCCTCGAGTCCCTGCCATTGTGTCTGCTGCATTTTTATATATTTTTTGAAATAAGTTCTTTATCAGAAATGCTGCTACAAAGTGAAGGTGCCTTGCCACTTGGTCGACTGCACAGTATCTCTTAAGACTCCTGTTCCCCTTTGGTTTTTGAAAAACGTTGAGTCTTAGTAGGATGTGTTTTTTCCAACTGCTCCTAGTTCATAGATTTGGGCACCTTAAGGGATCTTAAGGGCAAAGAGGGTGGGGAGAAGGGGCAGAAAACCGCTAATCCTTGGTGCAAGTATAAGAGTGAAATGACACTTGATTCTTCCATTTTCTTAACAGACATGGCCATTTACCAACAACCAGGGCATGTGCAACTGCCCCGAGCTGATGCCATTCGTTCACGTCTCATCGATACTTTTTCTCTCATTGAGCATTTGCAAGGCTTGAGCCAAGCTGTGCCACGGCACACAATCAGGGATTTACTTGGTCAGCAACCTATTTCTTTACTAGTCTAAATTTAAGACTCCTATTCACATCCTCCAAAAAGAGATAAATTCGAGGGTGGAAAATTCAAGGGAGGTTGGTTGGGTTGCTGGTTTAGAGATCACACTAAACTTGATAAATCAAGGGCTTTATATATAAAACTATTTGAATCCGGCAGATAGAATTCATGTCACTTACGTTTAGGCCTAAGATAGCTATTAGACTCAGCTGACTTGGAAAAGTTTCTACCAGAGACACTTAAAACTTGTAGGGTTGAATCTGCTGCTTTTATTCATGGGCATGGACAGTACTGGTCATAAGCAATACATTGGTTCTCACTCCAAACTAACAGGATTCTGAGTTGATGTGAGAAGGAGCAGCTGTGAGGCAAGCTCCTGCACTAGGGGGACCAATATTACTGCCCCAAACCTACTTCTCTATATTTGTTCACTATCCTTTTACAATGTTTGTTATAGATCCTTCTGGCCGGGGGAAACTTATGTTGGGAGATCAACACCAGCTAGTGCGCTTCTCCATAAAGCCTCAACATGAAGGACATATTTCACATGCCGCAAGAATGTTGAGCAGGCTTCACATCCGCTGCAGCCAGAGGCCGCCTCTTTCCTTGTGGGCTGGATGGGTTCTTGAGTGTATCCTTTCATGTCACTCATTTTATCCATGGCTGTTCATCACCTGCCTGATGACTTATTTTTCCCTTTCCAAACTCCATTGTCTTCTCATTATCACTGCTTTTATTCTTGCCCTTATTATTTCAGCTACACAAATCAGAACTCCAGTATGTGTGTTTCCTTAAGAGAAAACAGGTCGCCTCTTCACAAACTTTATGGTCTTCCTCATCTTTTTGAATACGATTGTATTTATGGTTGAAATAGGTGAGAACTAACATTGAATGAAAGAGGAAGTGGGTGGGAGTCTTTTTCCTTCTAACTTGATTATCTTACATTTTTGAATGTCATTTGAGTTGTGATAAAGACAATTATATGAAGCCCTCTGGAGTAGGATTTGTGCAACTGGTTAAGATCTGGAAACATTTGGAGGGCTCTAGAGAATACAGTAGATATGGGTAGACACTCAGAGGTAGAGTATAATATGTAGCAATGTAACAAATCCACAAGGAACTGGAAATGGGAAGAACGGTTTTATTTCTTTTGTCAGTTTAGTCCAATATTTGTTTGAATTAACCTTTTCTATTAAAGGGAGTGGTGCCTATCAGTGAATAATCTAATGTTTACATTTTTACAAATATAATTGGAAAGGTGACTTAAATACAAACAAGAAAGCTCACAAAGTTAGGTATAACTAAGATATTAAGTGACTAAAAAAATTACAGAGGAAATGACTCTTAAACCAATCATAAATTATATGAAATGTATTAAAAACAGAAGTACATATGGGGAATCAGTGATCTCATATGATGATCATCTCAAATAAACTCAGAAATGATGAAAGAATAATAGCAGTACTCACTTGTTTCATCCTCACTGTTTTGGGGACATTTCCCACTTTAAAACAGTCCTTTAATGTAGTTAGGTCAAAGATATTTAAATACACAACAATAATTGATGTCTCTGATCCACTACAGTATACTATGTACTTTGAGATGTTTTATTTCTTTCCATAGCAGGGAGCACTTTGAACTAAGTCACTCATAATTTTCTATTTCTTGTGTGATTATTGGCATGTATTTGCCTTGTGGTGTTAGGGATATAGTCTTAAACTTTGGAATAAAGTAAATAACAGTACATGTACAAGATTACCTAGATCTAATAGACAAATCAAAATAGAATAGCACTAACCATTCTATTTGGTAAAATAGTTTGAATTTGAAGCATGATCTACGTGCCGGAGGATAGGTAGATTGCCAGACTGGGAGTTATCTGGCAAGCTCATGAAAATTTTATCATACTAAAGCATATTCTTGTGATAAAAGGCAGCACAGATTTTGCAAAGGGAAATTATTTGTGATTAACAGATTTATTTGGACAGACTAATTCTTTTTTTTTTTTTTTTTTTTTGAGACAGAGTCTTACTTTGTTGCCCAGGCTAGAGTGAGTGCTGTGTCGTCAGCCTGGCTCCCTGCAACCTTAATCTCCTGGGCTCAAGCGATCCTCCTGCCTCAGCCTCCCAAGTAGCTGGGACTACAGGCATGTGCCACCACGCCTGGCTCATTTTTTTTTTTGTATATATATTTTTAGTTGGTCAATTAATTTCTTTCTGTTTTTAGTAGAGATGGGGTCTCGCTCTTGCTCAGGCTGGTTTCGAACTCCTGCCCTCGAGCGATCCACCCGCCTTGGCCTCCCAGAGTGCTAGGATTACAGGCGTGAACCACTGGACAGACTAATTCTTATGATAAAAAAGAAACATTAAGACTGTGTTTAGGCTTAAAAAAATATTTTTTTCCAGATCACAAAGACTATAACTATGTGTTAGGGCTTTAAAAAAATCTACTTTCACAACTGGATATTGATATTCTGTTTTATACTTTTAACATCAAATGGCTTATTTTTATAATTTTCATATTTTATTTTTATTTTTTTTTTCATTTTTTTTTTTTTATAAGGACAACAGTTTCCTACATATTTTATTTTTAAATGATAAGAGAGAGAAAAGAAAGATTTGGCTCATTTGTAAGCCTTAATCTGAATAGTCCTTATTTATTAATACAACAAAATACTGAGTATAACATTATTACAAATTTTTTGTTTGTTTGTTTTGACACAGGGTCTTGATCTTGCCTGGGGTATGATCACAGTGGTGTGATCATAGCTCACTGCAGCCTTGTACTCCTGGGCTCAGGCAAGCCTACCACCTTAGCCTCCCAAAGTGCTAGCATTACAGGAGTGAGTCACCTCTACCAGTTTGTTTTTGAGTCAGGGTCTTGTTCTGTTGCCCAGGCTAGAGTGCAGTGGTACAGTCATAGCTCACTGCAACCTCAAACTCCTGGGCTCAAGCAATCCTCCTGCCTCAGCCTCCTGAGTAGCTGGGACTATAGGCACATGCTACCATGCCTGGCTAATTTTTTCTATTTTTAGTAGAGATGGGGACTCACTCTTGCTCAGGCTGCTCTTGAACTCCTGACCTAAGTGATCCTCCAGCCTCAGCCATTCCAGCATGATAAAATTATAGGCATGAGCTACCACACCTGGCCATCCCTTTTTTCCTGAGAGTACAAGTGCTACTTCTGTCTTTGGACTTCCCTAATCAAACCATCAGAATCTTCTTTTCAAGACCCTTACTTTATGTTATTGTTCTCTTTGGGTTCCTATTTTATGAAGGCAACAACTGAATAAAAATGATGGCATTCCATTTTCCAGCCATAAATGTAGTCCTCGGCTCTGTCTAATAGTATAATCCCATGGTTCTGAGAATCAGAATTTATTGTTATTGAAAAATATTGTATTTTATTGAATTAAATTGTCATCAATCGTGAAGTACATTATTTATTAATGATTAATAAAAATAAATAAAATCATCCTCAATTAAACTGGGACACATTGATTGTAAGATGCACCTTAATTTCAGAGATACTAAAATGTGAAAACCTGTCCATCTTAGAATTAGAGAAACATTTGTGTAAAAGAAAAACTTGCTGAAGAAGCACATAGCCTAAGGAACCGTAGGGATAAGTACAGTGTGACTCTGTTGGTTTTAAGGAGGTTCCAACCTCCAAAATTCTAGGGAGGGTTGAAGTATGTCTCTCTCCTTTTTGTCTTGATCCAGTTTAGGATCAGGAATGACAGTAAAGCCATAACACCATTGATTCTTATTTAGCTCTTAAGTCTATTTTGATATCAATTTTTTTCTAGAGCATGGTATACATCCATTAATTGTATAAAAGTGATGAAGAGGATTGAAAGATAAAGGCAATGAGAATAGCAATTAAAAAATAATATCAGGATTCTAGAGGAGAAGAGTAGGATTCAATTTGCTTTGCAGAACAAAATCAATTTTAGGGAGAGAAGAAAGGAAAGTTTCAAAAGAAAGCTAACATATAAAGAATCAACTGTATTTATTTATTTTTTTTTTAAGAGAGGACTTCTTGTTCTGTCACCCATGCTGGAGTGCATTGGCCTGATCATGACCGTAGCTCACTGTAATCTTGAATTCCTGGCCTCCTGTGATCCTCCCACCTCAGTCTCCTGAGTAGCTGGGATTATAGGCATGCGCCACCGTGCCAGGCTAATTTTTAAATTTTTTGTAGAGGTGGGGTCTAGCTATGTTGCTCAGGCTGGTCTTGAACTCCTGGCCTCAAGCAGTGCTTCTGCCTCAGGCTCAGCTGGGATTACAGGGGAGAGTCACCACACTCGGCCCCCAAGTAACTTCCTTTTATAAATCAGTATACCCCATGAATCTGGCTTCTAGTTTCTACCGTGTTTCCCTGAAAATAAGACAGGGTCTTATATTTATTTTTCCTCAAGAAGACACCCTAGGGCTTATTTTCAGTGTTATTTTCCCCTCAAAGCCTCAGCTTGCAGCACACACAGGATGGCCGGGACCTGACAGGGGGAGCCGACCTTGTTGGTAGGGCTGCCTGCACCTTTCAGGTCACCTCTGGGATAGTAGCTGTTAGGATAGGGCAGATGAGAAGGCCCCATATGTTGTGCAGATTCGCTGTGTAGCCACACCCATCACTAGGTCTTATTTTCGGGGTAGGGCTTATATTGTGCAAATGCTTAGAAATCCTGCTAGGGGTTTTTATGGGTAGGTCTTATTTTTGGGGAAACACAGTACATGCCTCATGAAGTACTTTAGATATCATAGCCCTATATTTTCATTCTATTCTCAAGACTCATTGCTTACATTGAACTTTGAGACTGAGTTAACAGTACAGCAGGAAGGAGTTGTGTAGGGGGTTAGTTAAAAAGAGCAATCTCTTAGTGGCTATGTGACCCTCAGAGTAGGTAGGAAGTAACTTGCAGCTTGTAGAAATATGGATATCGATAGATGAGTTGTGACTATTTTTCATGGTCAGTTCTGTCCTTTGTAATTCACAGGTTGAAACAACAGTGTTAAGAAGAGAAACTCAAAGAGAAATGGAATAGAAGTGGGCACAACTGTGATTTATAAGTGATCATTCATCATTCAGCTTCCTATTTCCTTAACTTTTATTCTGCCTTTGTTCTACCCTCACAGAATTGCTGGAATCCACAGATCCCAGACTGTGGACATTGAAGCTGACTATGGAGGTGGCAGCTTGGTTTATCTTGCTTATTTTCATTGTGGAGATCCTTCTTATGTGGCTATCCAGCTTTTCCCTTTTCTGGAAGAATGCCTGGAATGTCTTTGACTTTACTGTTACCATGTTGGTAAGGATAGATATCCTGGGGATTAGTTTAGTGGGATGAGGAATGTGTTTAGGTGAATCAAAAGAACAAGAAAAGTTGTGTTGTTTTTTTTTTTTGAGACAGAGTCTCACTTTGTTGCCCAGGCTAGAGTGAGTGCCGTGGCATCAGCCTAGCTCACAGCAACCTCAAACTCCTGGGCTCAGGCAATCCTGCTGCCTCAGCCTCACGAGTAGCTGGAACTACTGGCATGTTCCACCATGCCCAGCCTGGGCACTATTTTAAGTGTTTTACACATACTGTCCCATCTGTGCTCCAGAACAACTCAATGAGCTAAGCACTGATTTTATCCCCTTTTTATATCTGAACAAATTGAAGTACAAAGTTCAAGTAATTTAGTTAGGCTGAATAGGAAACAGTCCCAGAGAATGCTATTCAAGGGGTCATGCCCAGGGAACCATGAGGAGGAGATGAAGAAGGGGCAACTGTGCTTGGATGCTTCTGGGTATATTTTACTCATAATCTATGTGTTTTCCACAGTCCCTGATTCCTGAGGTTGCAGTGTTGGCAGGGGTGACAACCCAGTCTGTGTGGCTCCAGTTTCTGAGGATCTGCCGGGTGCTGAGGTCTCTCAGACTCTTTTCACGATTCCGTCAAATTCGAGTTATTATTTTGGCCCTGGTCAGAGCCCTCAAGGTGATTCAACTGTTGCAAGCTAAAGCAGGGGGGGAAAGTGGATAAATACAGGGGTTTAACATTTAATATGAAACAAGTCTGCAAGGGTGAAAGAAGGCAATGAAAAGTCCTGTGAAATGTGATTGATGAGAAGGGGCTGGGGACAGCTGCTGTGGTTCACAGATGACTGGGTTCAGGAGTGGAAGGGAGGGTTTGGTGGGGGATTGCCAGGTGGGCTTGACTGGGCTGTCATTGGAGATCAACCTAGTCTGGCCCATCTCTGACTTGAAGTCATGGCCTCTAGAGCATGACCTTCCTCCTGATGTTGCTGCTCATCTTCTTCTACATTTTTGCTGTGGCTGGTGTCTACTTCTTCGAGGAGTACACCCGTTCAACAATCCCGGACCTGGAGTTCCACTTGTTCTTCTCGTAGGCAGGGCTGGGAAAAGCCTGGGTGAGGGGAGAGAATTTGGGTAAGAGACTGGGAAGCTTGTCCAAAGTATAGTAATACAAAATGTATAGTGCATTCCAAGAAACTGGAATAGAGCATAATAAGGAGGGGGAAAGAGAAAGCAAAGGAATAGTAAGTGATGTTAGCTCTGATTTTGAGGGTAGAGCACCTAATTCCAGGTTTATTCTGGGTTTTGCAAATTCAAATGTACTCTTATCAAACATCTTTTTTTTTTTTTTTCTGAGACATGGCCTTGCTCTGTCTCTTGGGCTAGAGTACAGTGGTGTCCTCATAGTTCACTACAACCTCAAACCCCTGGGCTCTAGTGAGCCTCTTGCCTCAGCCTCCCCAGTAGCTGAGACTACAGGTGTGTGCCACCATACCCAGCTAATTTTTCTATTTTTTGTAGAGATAGAGTCTCATTCTTGCTCAAGCTGGTCTTGAACTCCTCGCCTCAAGCAGTCCTCCCTCTTTAGCCTCCCAAAGTGCTAGGATTACAGGCATGAGCCACAGCACCTGCCCTCAACCATCTTTAAATAGCAGTATACTCCAGTGGTTAAGCCCTGGTTTCCATGACTCAGTTACCTCTTTAAAAAAATGGAAATAATAGCAGTACTACCTCATAAAAGTATGGAGATAAATGAAGTTATGCATTTCAGCACTTAGTACAGTATGAACACATTACAAATGCTCAATAAATATTACTATGACTGTCAAACATGGTCACTGGTTTTACCCCACTCTCTAGGTGTGGATATTACCCATGCATATATAATACCTATATTCATTTAAAAGTAAAATCTTGATAAGATCTCTGTTTAGAAAACACTGATTACTAGAAGAAAATCAACTTGAATTTAGAATAGATAATCCTATTTATGAATTGGAATCCAATCTTGTCAGCAACTCTCAGGTCTCTCTTAGGCTCTAACAGGTAGTTGTATCAATATATTGAGTTAGGAAGTCCTAGAATTCATCCTATACAGCCTGATGTTTTCAATAAATTATATATGGGGAACTAAAAGGGAAAGAACGAAAATTTAGATACCTTCCTGAGACGTTTTATCACAAAGATCTCAGGAAGGTCTCTAAATTTTTCTTAATTTTTAAATAATTATTATTAATTTTATAATTTAAAACATATTCATCATCATTCATTATTTAGAATCACACATGTTTATGTCACATATCCATCCTACTTGCCTATCAGTTCATACCAGTGAAGTAAATAGGAACAATGTTTGCTAAATTTGTGAGTGATCTTCTATTAAGTGGAGTCCATACAGCAGTGGAGAATGACCTTAGAAAAAATTATATCTCATTGGTAATTCATCTTTTTTTTTTTGAGTGGCGAATCATTCATCTTTTAAAAATTGAGTCAATAGCTATTTATTGAGTATTCTCTATGCCCCAGGAGTAAAGGAATAGTGAGAGGTATTTGCAGATTATTCATGACAAAGGAAAATTTAAAACAACAATTTCAAACTGAAGAATGAGCCAGGCACAGTGGCTCATGTCTATAATCCCAGCACTTTGGGAGGGTGAGTGGGAGGATTTCTTGAGGCCAGGATTTTGAGACCATCCTGGACAACATAGCAAGATTGTGTCTCTACAAAAAATAAGAAAAATTAACTGGGTATGGTGGCAGATGCCTGTGGTCCCAGCTACTTGGGAGGCTGAGGCAGGAAGATCACTTGAGTCCCAGAAGTGGAAGTTGTAGTGAGCCATGATCAAGTCACTGCACCCCAGCCTGGGAGACAGAGCAAGACCGTGGTCTCAAAAAACAAACAAACAATAACCTGAAGAATGTTTAGCTAAAAATTGAATATGGTAGAAAAGCCAAAATCAGAACAAACTATACAGAAATACTCTTTTGTTGCTTTAAAAGTAAGAATGAGAGGTTGGCTCAGGAAGAGGTTTCTGAGAGGTTTAGATTTCTGTTTCTATCTATTCACAATACTTTTTACTTTAGGGACCTGCTGAATTCCCTAGTGACAGTGTTCATTCTCTTCACCTTGGACCATTGGTATGCACTGCTTCAGGATGTCTGGGAGGTGCCTGAAGCCAGCCGTGTCTTCAGCAGCATCTATGTCATCCTTTGGTTGTTGCTTGGCTCCATTATCTTTCGAAATATTATAGTAGCCATGATGGGTAAGCATAGAGGAGGTGAAACTTGGGGGAAAGAGTGGTTGGGAAGAAATGAGTCTGAAAGCTGGCATTGGTGGATTATGGGTAGAGAGAACCTATTGCCGCAGGAAGGCTTGGGTCTTAGCATGGATATTTCACTTGGTTTCTCCCTACCCAAGCCTTCTCCCCAGGTCTAATTACTACCATCTCCCAACTCCTAATGGCCCTTTGGGGCAGTTACTAATTTCCAGAATATCAGGAAAGAGCTGAATGAAGAGATGACACAGCTGCAGGTTCAGTACAAAGCTGACAGATTCAAGCGTCAGATCATCCAGAGGTCTGCTCTCCCATTTTCAAACCCAGCTTTATTTCTCAAAAGTTTCCTGAACTCATTCCCTATTTCTACTTCTTGTCCTTGACCCCATTTTCTGTTTGTCAAAGAAGATTTGCCCACAGGGTTAAGAATTCTCTAGCTCTAGAATATTGCCTGATTCTTCATCTGCTATGGGGACTCCTCTGTTCTTTTTTACCCCTTGAATACAGTTTGTTTTCCCCACTCAGATTTCTTCACTTTATGACTTGAATTCTTTTCTTTTTTTCTCTTTGCACTTTGTCTTGAATATAGCTCTCTTTACCCTTTTGGGTTTTTTTGCTTTGCAGGAGACAAAACCTGTCCCCTGAGGCACGGAAGTTAAGATCACGCAAAAGGGATGCCAGGTTAGGAGTGTACATGTGAACTGGGATGGAAACACATGAAAGAAGAGAGGGTAGAAAACCAAGATGAAGACTGGCTTTGAGAAAGAATTCATACATTCAATAACTATTTATTGTAGCCTATTGAATTGTGGTCCCCTAAATGGTATGTCTATGTCCTAACTCCCCAGAACCTGTGAATGTGACCTAATTTTGAAAGAAGGTCTTTGCAGATATGATTAAGGATCTTGAGATGAGATCGTCCTGGATTACCCAGGTGGGCCCCAAGTCCAACAACAAGGGTCTTTATAAGAGATTGAAGAGAAGACAGAATAGGAGAAGGCAGTGTGAAGATGGAGATAAAAATTAGAGTGTTGTAGCCACAAGCCAAGGGAAGCTGAGGAATGCCAGGCAGCTGCCAGAAGGTAGAAAAGACCAGGAATCTTCTTCTAAGAGCCTCAGGAGGGAGTAAGGCCCTACCAACAGCTTGATTTCAGACTTCTCGCCTCCAAGAACAATACGTTTCCATTGTTTTAAGCCACGAAATTTATGGTCATTTGTTATGTCAGACACAGGAAACTAATATAAATACTTTCAATGAAACAAATAAAATTCTAGATCCTGAGTGTTTAGCAGTAGACAAGAGAGCAGAAGGAGAAATAAGAAACTCATTCATCCATTAAGAAATAACTATTGAATACTTAGGGGCTTGGGACATTCCAGTGAACAAAATAGACAATAATGCCACTCTCATGGAGCTTACATATTAGTAGGAGTAAAAAGATAATAAACATATTAAACAAGTAATATATTAAAATATGATAAACATTATTGAAAAATTAGAAGTAGAACAGCTTAAGGGGGATTGGGAATAGAGGGTAGGGATTACAGATGGGTTGTCATTTTAAACAGGATGATCAGGGTGGCCTCATTGAAAAGGTAATGTGGGCAAAGACTTGAAGGAATAAGGAGATTACAGTGTGAATATCTATGGGAAGAGTTTTATAGGTAGAGGGAACAGCTAGTGCTAAAGTCCTAAGCCAGAAGCATCCCTGATGTATTTGAGAAACAGCAAAGAGGCCATTGTGACTGCAGCAGAGTGAGCAGGGGGAAGAATGCTGGGAGATAAGGTCAGAGAGATAATGGGGACCCAATCCTGTAGGACTGTGGGGGCCATTGTAGGGACTTTTACTCTGAGGGAAATGGGAAGCAGAGCAGAGGGGTGCTATGAAGTGACTTACATTTAAGAAGGATTATTCTGGTTGCGGTGTTGATGACAGATTATAGAAGAACAAGGGAAGAAGGAGCACAGAGATCAGTTGGGAGGCTGTGTTGCTGTCCAGGCAAGAGATGATAGCACAGACCAGGTGATACTACAAGTGAGTTAGTGAGAAAAGATATATTTTGAAGGTAGAGTCAATAGGATTTCTTTTTAAAAAATTTTTTTAAATTTTCTTTTCCATTTTTTTAAAAATTTCATATTATGGGGGTAATTTTTAAAATTATTATGGGTACATAATAGTTGTATATCTTTATAGGGTACATGTGATGTTTTGATACAGGCCTACAATGTAAATTAATCAAATCAGGATAATTGGGGTATCCATCACCTCAGGAATTTAACATTTTGTGTTAGGAACATTCCAACTCCACTCTTTTAGTTATTTTAAAGTATACCGTAACTTATTTTTTATTATAGTCACTTTATTACACTATCAAACATTGTTCATTCTATCTCTATCTATATTTTTATACCCATTAGCCATTGCCACTTTGTGCCCCCCTCCCCACTACCTTTCCCGGCCTCTGGTAATCATCATTCTAATCTCTGTCTCCATGAGATCAATTGTTTTTAAATTTAGCTCCCACATATGAGTGAAAATATACGAGATTTGTCTTTCTGTGCCTGGCATATTTCACTTAACATTATGTTCTCCATATCCATCCATGTTGTTGAAAATGGCAGGATTTCATGACTTTTTGTGCTATATAATATTCTATTGTGTATAAATACCACAATGTATTTATGCTTTCATCTGTTGATGAACACTTAGATTGATTCCAAGTCTTGGGTATTGTGAACAGTGCTGTAATAAACACAGGAATGCAGATGTCAGTTTGATATACTGAATTTCCATCCTTTGGGTATATACCCAGCAGTGGGATTGCTGGATCATGTGGTAGTTCTATTCTTAGTTTTTTGAGGAAACTCCATACTGTCTTCTATAGCGATTGCACTAATTTATATTCCCATCAACAGTGTATGAGGGTTCCCCTTTCTCCACATCCTCACCAGTATTTGTTATTGCGTGTCTTGATAAAAGCCTTCATTCTGTCAACAGGATTTCTTAATGGATGGCATGTGGGAGGGAATAGATGAGTTAAGGGTGACACATTGGGGATGATTGAGTTTGGTAGTGCCCAAGGTTAGAGTTTGGGAATAGTTTGGTCTTCATTGCCTATGGCCCAGCTTTAGAGGTTGGCCATGGCCAGGAACAGAATAATGAATGAACTACTCATATCTTGTAAATGTTTTTGAAGCAATAAAATTTCTCCTTTCATCCAGGTTGGTAGTATGTGCCTGAAGTCCCAGCTATTTGAGAGGCTGAGGCAGGAGGATCACTTGAGCCCAGGAGTTTGAGTCCAGGCTGGGCAATAAAAAAAAAAAATTCTCCTTTTTTTTTTTTTTTTTAAGAATAGTTGTCCAAGTAATTTTCTATTTTTAGTAGAGATAGGGTCTTGCTCTTGATCAGGCTGGTCTACTGAACTACTGAGCTCAAATGATTCACCCGCCTCAGCCTCCCAGAGTGCTAGGATTACAGGCATGAGCCACCATGCCTGGCCTAAAAATTCTCCTTTCACTTACAGAAAAGCACATCAAAAAGGGGAATTTTTGGACTCATTTGAAGTTTATGAAGAAGCGTTTAAACACAGTCATGACAAAGAGGGTTTAGGAACGGATTTAATGGTAGTTGCATCAAAACCAGAAATGTCCTCGTCAAAACCAGAAGCAGAAGCATCCTTGTCAAAACTGGATGTGTCTTTGTCAAAACCAGATGCGTTCTTGTCAAAACCAGAAGCAGAAGAATCCTTGTCAAAACCAGAAGCAGAAGAATCCTTCTCAAAACCAGAAGAAGAATTCTTACCAAAACCAGGAGCATCCTTGCCAAAAATGAACGAGTATCCATCTTCTTCTTCTGCATCCTCCTCCATTTCCGACTTTTCCGAAATCAGAGATTATGAATTTACTGGTGAGCAGAAGGGTTTCTTCCATTTGAATTCAGACTCCTTCTCTTTATAAGCTATCCCAATCTTAAGAGGAGCCCTCCTATTATATCTGCTTTCCAGTTTTCTCCATCAGTCTGATTTTCTGGTCTTAATTACTCTTTTTGTGCTTCTTCATTTGCTCCATACTTCTCATTCACCTTGGATAAATGTGGCTGTAACTCTCTTTGCTCATTATAAAAAGGGGTCTCTTGGTGGAGCACTCTTTTGCCTCTCTGCTTCCTGTTTCCTCTTTCATCCCCACTTTCCCACCTACACCATAAGATTTGTCAGCTCTTACCCAACTTTCACAAATCTAGCCATGTTTTAATGAAGCATTCCTCCCTGCAGATCATTTGGACTGGGAAACACTTGTGCATCAGAATCTGCCTGGGCTAATGGAAATGGGTCCAGATGACCGTGTTGTTTGGCCCAGAGATTCACTCTTCCGATATTTTGAGTTGCTAGAAAAGCTTCAGTATAACCTAGAGGAGCGGAAGAAGTTGCAAGAGTTTGCAGGTATGGAGTTAGGGCAGTCATGGGGACTAGGAGTTAAGTACAAGGTGGGAAAATATATATATATACACACACACACACATATATATGTATATATATATGTGTGTGTGTGTGTATATATATATATGTATATATATATATATATATATCTCATATATAACTGGGGAGAAGGAGGAGGGTGTCCACTACTCTGTCATCTCAACTTCTCAATTTCTGCCTCACACCTAAAAAGCAAATTTTTGGTTTGATAGGTCACATTCTGGGTATGTATTCCAATTTCCTCTTAGAGAAAAACTAGAAACTGCTTCTCCAGCAGGGGACGCCCAAACTCCATGACGTCTGAGAGCTTGTGTCCCCAGAGGAGAGTATCCAATTCCAGTTGTTGGGAATTAGAACATTGTGGGCCTTTGCTTTATTTGGGCAGCTCACCCCTTCTGTACATGTTCCTTCTCTTTGAAGGTCGCATTTCAGACTTGAAAAGCAAAGCCTCAGGCTCAAGTTGGACAGCTGTGGGGATAAAGACAGTGAGCAGAAAGCCCACAAGTGCCCACAGTCCCAACCCCCAAAAGAGGTTTATGAATTACAAACTTCTCTTCCTATCAGCCCATCCTAGCATTAGCCTCAGTAGATAGAAGTATGTGATTTATTTATTTATTTATTTTTTTCTCAAGAGTGAGCAAGATGAAGAAGTATGTGATTTAAATAGTAGGGTTGGATGTAAGCTGAGAACTATCTGTTCATAATTATTTTCCCTAAATTTCACCACTTGGAGATTAATTTGTATTAATACAATTTCCCTCTAAAAGTAACAAAAAACCAAAAAAACAAGAGTTAGGGGCATTTTTTTACAATTTAATATGGACTAGTGTTATCTGGGTTTTCCTCCTCATAACTGGTTGGAAGCAACTAAATGTGAGAATACAAAACTGGGGAGGAGGACTGTGTGTGTATGTGCGTGCATGTGTGTCTGTGTGTAGTGGGCACAGGTGGGCAATAAGAGGAATTTATAACATTGGAACATGGAATTTAGGGCAGGATGTCGAAGACAGGCTTTGCTTACTTCAAAATGTTGCCTAAGGTTCATCCTGCTCCTTCCAATCATTCCCAGCCCTGCCTTCTCATTTGCTCTCTGGGAGCAGGGTGACAGGGAGGAGAAGGTAGCAAAGGGGTGTAGCTTCTTTAATCCCAATTAACTTGTCTATGACAAAGAGTACACAGACTCATATGGTTTCATTTAGAGCAGGCATCCTCAAACTACAGCCCACGGGCCACATGCCGCCCACCTAGGACATTTATCCGGCCTGCCGGCCCGCCAGGTGTTTTTGCTGCTGCCTGTCCTGCTTTGCAGCCGACTTGTCCTGGGCCCACAGTGTGCACTCTCCAACGGTCTGAGAGACAGTGAACTGGTCCCCTGTTTAAAAAGTTTGAGGACCCCTGATTTAGAGTAAAGATTAGTAAAGATTGTGTGGCAACCTAGAACCTAGAAAAGTGGGTCTTCACCAGACATTTATGTGTTCCGAATGTGCTCAGCTCTCCAGCCTCACAGCCTGTTTCCTTTACAGTACAGGCACTGGTGAACTTTGAAGACAGGTAAAGCTGACAACGGATGGCTTCAATCTCTTTGGACCCGGCAAAAGATAATAAAGGGAGTAGTTGGAAATAGAGAATTCAACATATAAGTGTCTAATAAATACTGCTGGTAATTGCTCAGTGGTCTGTCTCTGAGGGAGAGTATACTAAAAGACATAAGGTCAGGCAAAAATCTTAGCTCAGATGCCAGTGAAGCTTGTGCTCCTCAGCGTTCTACTCTTTCTGCATCTCCTGACTCTGACTCTTCTTGGCTTTATCGTTGTAGCTCCCACTTTCCTGCAACCTACCTGTTAAGAGTCCTAATTTCACCCTCTTCCCTCCCCGATGAGTGCATAAAGTCTTCTCTGTGGGAGTAAGGAGATCCTCGGAGCTGTTAGTATAACTAATTGAAGAAGTATTGTTTCCATTGCCCATTCTACTAAGGTTGCTTCTCTTGTGCATCATTAACTTTAATTGGACATCATTTTTACCTGTTTCTAGGCCAAAAGACAGTTCCTTTATTCCATTTCTTTACCATTGCTCAGGGAGGGGTACAAATCAATAAGGGTTCCACAGGTTTTAAATGTTAGAAGGGACCTCAGAGTTAACTTGTCTCCCATCAAAGTAGGAACACCATTTAGAATGCCACTGAAAGGAGGATGATATCGCTGATGCTCAATGTTTCTAGCTATTGGGAATTTATTATCTAGAAGGGATTCCATTCCATTGCTAGATGACTAAAGTCTTTAGAGATGTTTATTATTAGAAATTCTAGGCCAGGAGTGGTGGCTCATGCCTGTAATCCTAGCACTCTGGAAGGTTGGGGTGGGAGAATGGCTTGAGGTCAGGAGTTCAAGACCAGCCTGAGCAAGAGTGAGACCCTGTCTCTACTAAAAATAGAAAAAATTAGCCAGGCATGGTGGTACACACCTATAGTCCCAGCTACTTTAGGAGGCTGAGGCAGGAGGATCACTTGAGCCCAGGAGTTTAAGGTTGCTGTGGGCTAGGCTGATGCCATGGCACTCTAGCCTGGGCAACAGAGTGAGACTCTGTCTCAAAAAAAAAAAAAAAAAATTCTATCACTTATTGAGTGTTTACATGTAAGAAGATATTTATATATGTAGTATTTATGTATACTATATAGAGAGTATGTATATTTCATAAAACAATCATCTATGAAAGATATCCCCCCATTATTAGAGAGAAGAAAACTGAGGCTTAAAGAAGTTAAGTAAGTTCAGTAACTTGCCCAAAGGCATATACCAAGGAAGAGACAAAGCTAAGTTTCTAACCCAGGTTAAAAATTCTGAGTTTAGAAAAATTCATTTTATACCATTTAAACAATAAAATTGCTTACTGGGAAATTCAAAGGTAGTGTAGCTTCAAGATTGATTTAATATGAAAACTCACTGTTGTTAGATGTGTGGTTTTGTTTCTCTGCAATCTTCTTATCTCTGTTTTCTTCTGTGTGTCCTTGTTACCCTCAGGCTGGCTTTGCTCAAGCAGTCAGATAATTTTCTGAAGGTCCTAGGCCTATATACCTACTTACTCACATCCAGGGGACAAGAGACAGTGCCTCCTTTCTCAGTCATTGAACAAATCATCTGGGTCAGAATAATAGTTATTCTTGGAGTGAGAATACTGACTGGGAGGAGGCATGAAGAACCTGGAGTGTTGTAGTGTTCTATATATCTTGATCTGCATGGTGGTTACACAAGTGTATATAAATGTAAAAATTCAACAAACTATACATTAAGATTTGGGTATTAACTGTATGTAAGTCAGACCATACATACACACACACACACCCACACACATATCCTGAGCACCACTCTGATTGCACCAAAAAGGCCATATGGTCACATGCTCACTCCTGAACAATCAGATGTAAGATTTCTCCTGGAACTGGAGATAGAGTCACACTCACCCTTATAAGGGCTGCTGCCCAAATGGGGAAGGGATGAATGGATAAAAAGGAGGCAACTATAAAGTCCTCCACATTAGTCATTACCTAAGTGTATGTCTGGCCAAAAGGCCAAGATAGGGAAAATGAAAATGAATTGAATGTCCAGAACAGTCAAATCCATGGAGACAGAAAGTAGATTAGTGGTTGCTAGGGACTGGGGGAGGGAGGAATTGAGACTAGCACCTAATATGTATGTAGTTTCTTTTTGGGGTAATACAAATGTTTTGGAATTAGTAGTAGTAGTAGTTGTACACCATAATGAATATACTAAAAAACACTGAATTGCATATGTTTTTTGTGGGTTTTTTTTGCTAACTAAGGACTTTATTTCAAACAAAAATAAAAAATAAAAAATTGAGAGCTATTTGCCTGGGTGTGGGGAAGGGATCAGGATAAAGAATTCTCCACAACTAGGCTAGTACCCTCAATACACAGGAGGGGTTGTGGTAATTCCCTTTCTTGCCCCTGAGGTGGGAACCTCAGCAAGTTCAGAGCCCACCTATCAGGGGGAACCTGGGCTTGGGGCCAGTTCCTGGGAGGGGTAGAGTTGGGCAGCAGCCTGGCCAAAGGCCAACCACAGGATTGAGTCCTAAGTGCCAAGGACCTACTCTTCCACTGTCCTGGGACCCAGAACAGACGAAGAGGATGGCCAGTGGAGAACCTCTCAGATCCTGGCGAGAAGAAAGGCCCTGGTGTCTCTCACATTCATCACCTCTGTTCTCTGGAGGGCAGTGAGTCCTGGAGTCTCTCAGGTGGTAATACTGACACAGAGCCTGAGGGCAGGGGAGCCCCAGCAAGTCAGGACCCCATAGCTGGCTCTTCCACCCCTCGGCAAGCTCTTGCGGTTACCGCATGATCCTTTATATTTCTCGCCTTCCATTTCCTTGTGTGGATGGTTGGGTAGATGGTTTCCTGGTTTGGGGATTCTCAGATAAGGGCCCCTCTGGGAGGGTCCCCTGGATCCCCCACAACCCCAGGCCTGAGAAGGAGGGTATCACATGATGCCATTGGTGAGGTACTGGAAGCCGTCATAGAGTTTAGTGGTGATGGACCGCATGCTGCCGTCCACCATCTGCTCCACCAGCAGCTGAAGCTGCTCCTCGGTTATGCTCATGTGGAACCTCTCTTTGAGGTCGCAAATGGTGCTGGAGCCATGGAAGCAAGGAAGCTGTGAACCTTGCTGCATGATCTCCACGATCTGTACCACCTTTTCCCTGTGTTTTCAAGCGTCGATCAGCCCTTGCAGCATGAGCATCTTATAGTAGTTGAACATGTCACCATCTAGGCCACCCATTACATCCACAAACTCTGTGGTCAGCTGACGTCTCAAAGCCCAGGTTTCGGGGTGAGCTGGACAGGATGAAGCCAAAGTCGATGTGGATGATGTGGCATTCTGCATCCAAAAGGATGTTCCCATTGTGTCTGTCCTTGACTTGCAGCAGGTAGCAGACCAAGCAGTAGCCAGTGCAACTTTGCACAAAATTGCACTGGGCACTGAGGAATGCCTCAGTGGTGTAACTGCCATGCTCCTGTCGGAAGTAATCGATCAAGGAGAGCTGTGACTGTTTCTTCACCTGGTAGATGGACATAGCGTTGACCACTGGTTCAATCATGCCACTATCAGTTGAAATCACAAGGATCTTGTATGGCTTGATCCAGAGGGGTACTCGCTCCTGTTCCCAAATGGACTGCAGTTGCTTTAACACCTGGAAGGCCAGCAGTTCTTGCCTAAGGTCATCCCCACATTTGACAATGATTGACAGGAGCCACCAACTGGGGAGATGGCCATAGGGGAAGCCCTCTCTGATCCGCCGCACTTTCTCCTGCCAGGGCTCTTTGAGAGCAACTGCAGAAGGGTCTTCTGGGTCTCATTTGAAGGCTGTGGGGGTGTGAGGCAGCTGTTCTGAAAGGCGCCTTCGGATGTCCCCCGCTGCAATAAACACAGGCTCCTTGCTCTCTTGAATGGTGATGCTGTCCACAGAGAACTGAGAGATGTTGTCACAGCTGTTGGTGTATACTTCAGGGAGCTCCACTTGCAGCTCGCCTATGTCATCCACCGACCAGGCCTCATCATCATTGTCATAGTTGGGCACAGTGCTGAAGCTGCCAGCCCACTGCTCATGGGTGATACCACATTCGGGCAAGTTCTCTACGGACCGTGTATTCCGAATTCGGTTCTTGGGGATCTGGGCAGGGACACTGGTGGTGTCAAAGTTTTCACATTCAAGAACTTCCATATAGATCAGGTAGGGAGCCTTGTCCTTAGAGTTTAGGACAACAGCCTGTGTGTGGGGTATGCGGACCACGTGGTGGTCAAAGCCAGCATTGGGCAGCCAAACTCAGGCAGGGAGCTTATGGTTGAGCAGGGAGAGCTCTGAGATCAGCCGCTGTGTTTTCTGCTCTTTGGTGGGGAGTGTGGCAAGCCGTTTGCCAATTGCCATCAAGGATTTGATGAATTCTTGCTCAGGGGCCAATCGAATAGGCTCATCCTCATTCTCCACTTTAGGGTTGCTGGCTGTTCGTTTCAGGTTGCTGCTGAGACTTATGCTGGCGGTGGCATCTGACTTAGAATGCTGGTGAGTCCTTTTAGAGGGAGACAGCCCTGTGTCAGGGGTTGGGCTCAAGGAAGGCAGTTCCCTCTTTCCGTGAGCTGGCTGCAACTCATCTGAGAGGATCAGCTTCCGTAGCTTGGTCCCACGGGAGTGTCATTGAGTGGAAATGTGCATGTCTGAAGAGTAGGCCCCAAGCAACAGGGCACACTGGAGGGAAAAGTTAATGCTCTGGTGGCAACGGTGGACTATGTAGGGTTTAATGGCATCACTCACATCCTCATCCATGTGGATGTACATGTTAAGCAGCTGGGGCAGATAGAAGTCCACGTCCTCATCGTGAAAGCAGAAGAGCCGGTTGCCAATGTAGGCTTGTACTCCAGGCTCCTTGGAGTTATAAAGGTATGAAATGGCCATGGAGATGTCAAACAGTTTTGATTCAAACAGCCTCAGCAGCCATGACTGTTTAGCTGAGTTATTTTGCCGCTGCCTTCTTGCTCCTTTGGCTGTGCTCAAGGCCACAGTGGCCCCCATCTCATCTTCATCCTCCCTGATCTGAGCAGGTGGATCATCTAGGCAACGGATTTCACTGTCCACACCATCCCCATTGACCAACTCCAGTGGGGAGCCTCTGCTAGAGATGGCTACGCCTCCATGCAAAAGCTTGGCTTTCTCCAGCACCTTCTGGCAAGCCTTCTGGGCTACCTCAGGGTCAATCACTGATAGTTCCCGGACCCCCTCCGTGGTGACACTTAGCAAGGAGCCCCCATTATTCCCTGCTGGGGCAGGAGTCAGCTCAGAAGTTGGCTTCAATGGGGCAGGCTCCCCTACTGTGTCTCCCATGGCCACAGCCAGACTTCGAGCTTCCAAGCTCTGGGGGACCCCCGCGGAGGTGGTGTGGGCGGTCGGGGTCGGACTGCCCACACCACCCCCTCTGCAGCAGCGGTCACTGCCGGGTTCCATTGGCCGGGTTCCACTGCCACTGCCTGACAGCAGCCGTGGCTGCCTCTTTTTTTTTTAGACAGAATCTCTGTTGCCCAGACTAGAGTGCCGTGGCATCAGCCTTGCTCACAGCAACCACAAATTCCTGGGCTCAAGCGATGCTCCTGCCTCAACTTCCTGAGTAGCTGGGACAACAGGCGAGGCCACCACGCCCAGCTCCTTTATCTATTTTTAGTAGAGATGGAGTATCGCTCTTGCTCAGGCTGGTGTCAAACTCCTGACCTTGAGCAATCCACCCGTCTAGGCCTCCCAGAGTGCTAGGATTACAGGTGTGAGCCACCGCAGCTGGCCCCTCCTGACTTTTCTATAGCTGACCTTCTCCAGTGGTCTGTGCGTTCTGCCTGTTATTCTTTAACTCCTTCCTCAATGAAAACAACAATCTGGCTTTAATTCTGCTGGAATGGCAGTTTATTCAACAAATATTAGTTGAGTTCCTATGTTCCAGACATTGTTCTAAGCACTGGGGATATGCCAGTAAACAAATAAGACAGAAATCCCTGCCTATCCTAACTAGTTCCTCTTAAGATCACCACATTATAAGACTTCCATGATGACAGTGATTGTATCTCCTCCCATTTTTTAAAAAATCATTCTTCCAGCAACCCACAGCCATGTGGTAATAGCTGCTGAAAAAACAAACGAAACTTTTTCTGACTAAATAGAAATATTCTACAAATATTCTAAGGTCTAAGGATCAAGCTCCTTTAGCAAGCCATCCATTATTTCTCTAGCTTCCTTTACATCCTTGCTCTGACTGAGTACTCCTGCTATAGCATGCACCAGTGTCCTGAAGTCAAAGAAGATATTCAAGCTCCATGCCATGGCTCTTAGGGTTCCTCAGGAGCGTTTTAGAAGTGAAGTCAAAATTTAGATATTGTTGCGATATAACAAAATTTTACATTTTTCACATATGATTTGTAATAAGATTTTATTTTGGAATATAGTTTTCCCCTTTGATTGCTAATTATTATTTATATCTGCAAATGCCATAATAGAACAGAAACAACGTGTTCTCACTTGGAAGCAGAAAAATTAATGTTTGGTTTTTTTGTAGCATAAAGTATATAAAAAATGCAAGAATGCAAGAGAAATTTTATAACAGTACAGCTTCTATCTCCTGCATTATAACTTTAACTTTTTTCTGTTCAACATAGATTATTGGTTAGGAATCTGTATTAATTTTGCTTTACTATAATTGGTCTATACATTGTGACTGTTCTTAAATTTATTTGAAAGATAATGGAATTTCATCTTGGGTTGGAAGTTTGACCGGGTACACAAAATGGAGTGAAGTGAACACAGCCATCAAAATGATCCAGGTGTGGTGGACACAGCCTGTTCATCAACATGGCTGAGAGAGTCTACTTCAGGATGCAGATGGCTCAGTGAACACGAGGGAGAAGCCTTTCTGTGACCCTGCAAGGAGCAGAGTGTGTTCACCTTGATCTCTAGCCCACAGCCAGGGTGGACAGACCTCTCCAGGAGCTTTGCCTTAAGCTTGTATCTGTGCCAGGTGCAACTGGCAGGGTGGGGGGCTGGGGGTGCTGAAATCTGGTCTTCTGAAGTATTGTTATTAAATGTCTTTTTAAAAAGAGAAATACAACATATACTTTTACTATTATAATATTTTTTTTATAAAGTAGAATTGATTTCAATGTTTTATATGAAACATTTACCAAAAAAGGGGGTGAAAGGGACGTTTTAAATCTTTGACTTGAGTCTGCTGGTTAAGCTTCTGAATATTGATTTGCTGAGAAATAAAAACCAAAACTTCTCTTTAAACTGGTAAAATGAAGGGCGCAGCCAGCAGTGATCTCCTGAGCCTTACTGGAAACCTTGCTTACTTGTCTGCCATTCTCTGTTTTGTTTTAAGTTAGTTTTCATTGTAAGCATGCACAATACCTAGTTACATCTATGATCAGGTTACAAAAGTTGCTGGGTATAACGTGTGGTGTGGAGTGACTTGGAATGTTAGCTTTCAGGGAGAAAATGTGGTTGTATCTTTGCTAAAATTGAAGGTTTCTCCAGATGCCTGCTGTTGTAAGCGGTGGCCAGAAATGCTGCCAGGCCAGGCGAGAGGCTAGGCAAGGTGGCTCACACCTGTAATCCTAGCACTCTGGGAGGCCGAGGCGGGTGATAGCTCAAGGTCGAGAGTTCAAAACCACCTAAGCAAGAGCAAGACCTGTCTCTACTAAAAATAGAAAGAAATTAATTGGCCAACTAAATATTATATAGAAAAATTAGCTGGGCATGTGGCACATGCCCATAGTCCCAACTATTTGGGAGGCTGAGGCACAAGATTGCTTGAGCCCTGGAGTTTGAGGTTGCTGTGAGCCAAGCTGACACCATGGCACTCTAGCCCAGGCAACAGAGTGAGACTCTGTCTCAAAAAAAAAAAAAAAAAAAAGTTTGAGAAAACAAGAATATTTGCATAGCCTCAAAGTATCTCTGTCCAAGGCCGGGCGCTGTGGCTCACGCCTGTAATCCTAGCTCTTGGAGGCCGAGGCGGGCGGATTGCTCAAGGTCAGGATTCAAAACCAGCCTGAGCAAGAGCGAGACCCGTCTCCTACTATTAAATAGAAAGAAATTAATTGGCAACTGATTATATATATAAAATTACCGGGCATGGTGCGCATGCCCTGTAGTCCCAGCTACTTGGGGCTGAGGCAGAAGGATCACTGAGCCCAGGAGTTTGAGGTTGCTGTGAGCTAGGCTGACGCCACGGCACTCACTCTAGCCTGGACAACAAAGCGAGAACTCTGTCTCAAAAAAAAAAAAAAAAAAAAAAAAAAAAAGTATCTCTGTCCAAATATGTATTAGTTATAAAGGGGAAAATCGTTAATTTACAGCGAGGAACCTGACAGACATCACCCTAAAGTATCAAGTTAATATCACCAGTAATAAGCCATATCACTATTAATATACCCTTGTATTATGTGCTGAGAAAAGGAACTTCATCTCAGTGGTAACTCTTCTAAAAAAACATAACCTCATATAATCATAAGAAATATCAGATGAACCCAAATTAAGGCACATTCTACAAAATACTTGCAAGAACTCTTCCAACACATCAAGGTCATGAAAGACAAGAAAGATTAAGGCAAATGTCACAACCAGTGACAGGAGACTAAGGAGACATGACAACTAAATATCAATGTCATATCTTGGATTGGATCAGAACAGAAAATATTGTAGAAAAACTGTGAAAATTCTATAAAGTTATAGTTTTGTTAATAGATTTTACCCTCATTCCTGTAATCCTAGCACTCTGGAAGGCCGAGGCGGGTGGATGCTCAAGGTCAGGAGTTCAAAACTAGCCTGAGCCAAGAGTGAGACCCTGTCTCTACTCTAAATAGAAAGAAATTAATTGGCCAACTAATTATATATGAAAAACTTAGCCGGGCATGGTGGCACATGCCTGTAGTCCCAGCTACTTGGAGCTGAGGCAGGAGGATTGCTTGAGCCCAGGAGTTTGAGGTTGTTGTAAGCTAGGCTGATGCCACGGCACTCACTCTAGCCTGGGCAACAAAGCGAGACTCTGTCTCAAAAAAATAATAAAAAATAAAAAAATAAAAATTAAATAGTATTTTACCAATGTCAACTTTTTAGTTTTGATCATTTCATTATGGTTATGTAAAATGTTACATTAGAGAAATCTGGATGACAGGTATATGCAAATTATCTTTGCAACTCTTCTGTAAGTCTAAAGTTATTTTAAAATAAAAAGTTAAAAATGGGCCGGGCGCTGTGGCTCACGCCTGTAATCCTAGCTCTTGGGAGGCCGAGGCGGGCGGATTGCTCAAGGTCAGGAGTTCAAAACCAAAAAAAAAGTTAAAAATGTTAAGCTCATTTTAAGTCACCTGAATAGGAAAAATGTAGATGTAAACATTGGGAAGATGTTTGCTTGTCTCTCAGATGCATACCTTGCAAAAGTAGTAAGAAACAGAAATCTTTCCATAAGTGGCATTAGAAAAGGCTTACATTCACGCACTGAACAGTTTTTCTATCCTCAAACCTCAGTATCATGGCTGGCAATAAAAGACATTAAAACTTTTGCTGAAAGGACAACTGAATCCCTTTTGGACATTTGGGGTCTGGCTGATTAGTTCGAGTTCTCAAGAAATGAGATGGAATGAGACCTAGAGATTCTCTGAGGTTTTGAACCTTTGGAAATACACTAAATAGATAAATAAACATCTTAAAACTTTTTTTTTTTTTTTTTGAGACAGAGTCTCGCTTTGTTGTCCAGGCTAGAGTGAGTGCCGTGGCGTCAGCCTAGCTCACAGCAACCTCAAACTCCTGGGCTCAAGCAATCCTACTGCCTCAGCTCCCGAGTAGCTGGGCTACAGGCATGCGCCACCATGCCCGGCTAATTTTTTATATATATATCAGTTGGCCAATTAATTCTTCTATTTATAGTAGAGACGGGTCTCGCTCTTGCTCAGGCTGGTTTTGAACTCCTGACCTTGAGCAATCGCCCACCTCGGCCTCCCAGAGACTAGGATTACAGGCATGAGCCACCGCTGCCCGCCATCTTAAAACTTTTATATTAAATTTAAGAACAGGCCGGGCGCGGTGGCTCACGCCTGTAATCCTAGCACTCTGGGAGGCCGAGGCGGGTGGATTGTTCGAGGTCAGGAGTTCGAAACCAGCCTGAGCAAGAGCGAGACCCTGTCTCTACTATAAATAGAAATTAATTGGCCAACTAATACATATAGAAAAATTAAGCTGGGCATGGTGCACATGCCTGTAGTCCCAGCTACTTGGGAGCTGAGGCAGCAGGATCACTGAGCCCAGGATTTGAGTTGCTGTGAGCTAGGCTGACGCCATGGCACTCACTCTAGCCTGGGCAACAAAGTGAGACTCTGTCTCAAAAAAAAAGAAAAGAAAAGAAAAAAGAAGTCTGATGCTGTTTATTAGTTTTATTTTTTTTT